AGCAACATGTATGTCTGGGTTTTTTCTTTGTGTTTGCAGAGCATGAGCAGAAAATGGGCACAGGAAGGTCTACACAATAAGGGTCCAGGTGAAGCAGGTCCTGGGGAGCAGGGCAGGGTGCTTAGGGGGAAACCCTGAGCTCACTGGCCACTGCCTTGGTGCAGGGTTGGCCAAGGGGAAAGACTGTGGCTTGGTGGCAATAGTATTCCTAGCCAAGGGTATAAATAGCTGCTCTGGTGACCCAGGGAAGAATGGCTGCACAGGCGAGGTTAATTGTCAGCAGAAATTATGGGGACATTGTTCCTCCCAAGATAACCTGCAAGGGATGAAGCATGGAGCAAATTTTTCCCCTTCACAGTGAAGGAAAAAGAGCCTGAAATATTGGTGCAGTGCCTTTGTTCTCAGTTTTGGGGTGGCTCTCCCATTTAATTGTTTTTTTCCATTCTGTGTCAATGAGAACCAAGATGGATTAACTTTTTGTTTCCCCACCATGCCCTCCCAGAGGGGGAACCAAGATAGCTCCTGCAGGGATGGGCAAATTCTCTGTTTACTTTAACCTCACATCAAGGTCTTTTTTTACTTTTAGCTTAAGCGTGAAATCTGGGGTTCAGGGGTGGACAAGAAGCAGCTGAAAATAATTTGCTGGAAGCATCTGCATTGGACAGCAGAGTTTATGGGTTCCTTCACAGATGAAACCTGATGCTTTCTCCTCTTGCAGGCCTGGAGGGTTTGCAGTTTCTCCCCGAGTAGTTGGGCAGGTGACCATTGATCTGTGTCGGTGGCAGCACCAAAGCTGTGCTGGTGTGATGAGGGCAGTGAGGCTCGCTGGGACTGGGGAGGTTTCTCCTGATGATGAAGCTCTCTGTCCTGCTGTTTCTGTGCACCCAATTCCCAGACAATTTTGTCCCTATTCTTTTTTTCAAATGGAGCCTCTCTTGGTGTTCCTTTCTCTCAGTCCCCTGCCATTTTTGGCTGGAATGCCTTGCTCTTACTGAAAACCAGCTCTCTCACACATTGGTATTTGCCTAGATTGGGAGTTTAATGACCCATGTGTGAGGTGAGCAGATGCCAGAAAGCCCAGCTGGGGCCCCTTTTGGGCTGGAGGCACTGAGCTGATGTCATTCCCAACAGAGGCACCCCCAGCTTCAAAAAAGCAGTCCATCTCCCCTGGATGTCAGCTCTTTTCCTGTAGGGAATCTCTGAAGGGTGATCTCTGCTGGAAAGGTACCATCAGCTGCTTTGTTGGAAGAAAGAAGTGCTGGAGGACTCCCTCCTTCCACACCAGGGTGGTGGCAGCAGCAGGAAGGTTTAGCAGAGGTTGGAGAAAGCAGCATCTCCTCTAGAGAGCAGTTGAGACACGCAGGGGGCTGACATTGTAGGGGAATAGGCTGTGCCTTGGATGCTCCTGTCCTCATCTGTGAAGTCCTGCTGGGAGAAGAGAGCTCTGGTCCCTTCAGCACTGGACTGCAGGTGCCAGAGAGCCTGCTTCACTGTTTTGAAGTGGAACTGAAAGGAGCTTTTTGGGGATCCACCAGCCCAGTCCCTCCTCCCTCTCTGCTCTGCACTGAGCAGGCCAAGAGGTTTCTGGATCTTAAGCAGAGCTACACCCTGCACCTCCTTCATGCATCCCAGGACACAAAATCAAAGTCTCTGTTGTGCCTCTCCTGGTCAGGACTTGGACAGGAAATTACTGAAGAACGGTGTGATATAAATAACCAGACATAAGCTCATTGAATCTTCCTGGGGAGGGGCAGAGGAGAGCTGAAACCTGAGGCTCAGCAGCAGCCAAACAAGCCCTATCCAATGGAGAAAAAGCAGCTTCATGGCAGCCTGATGTTGGGGAAAACAGAGAGGTTTTGAGGCTCCATTGCCTTGGTTTTCTGTGCAGAAGAAACGCTTCTGGGGAAGCATTGCTGTGTAATTCAGTGTGTGAGCAGCACTGGTCCAAGCAATCCCCTCTGCCCCCAGCCAGTCTCAGCAGCAGCCAGTCTGTGCTCCAACCCAACCAACAACAACATGTCATCAACTAAAATCTCAAATAACTTCCTATTTATTTATTGCCTCAATGCCCCTTCAAAGTATTAATTGAAAATCCAAACCAAAATATTTTTGGCAATTAAGAGCTGAAGTATGACACAGAAAATAACAGGATGTTTAAGCTTTGAAAAACGTTCCTCTTTTCCCTGCTTGCTTTTAACACAACCACTTGGAAAGGCTGCTGCAAGAAGAAATTTCCTGCAAAATCTTCCTCTTGGGCACAGAGAACAGCCTTCTCTTTTTAAATCAAGCAACAAGTTATGATGCAGTCTGGGATCTGCAGCTGGCAGAGCCAGTGGCCCAGCCCCAGGAATGCTCAGCCCCTGGCAGAGGTGGCAGTGACACCTGCCCCAAGGAAAATCCAAACTGTGGAGCTGAGGTGATGTCCCAGGTGATGATGAATGTCCTTCTTTGGATACACAGGACAGTGGAGGCCTGCTTTTCAGGTTTGAGGCACAAGCTTTGTATCTTCCTGATCTTAGCTCAGATGTTGGCCAGCAGTGGATGTTTGCACTTCCCTGAAAAACTGTCCCTCCCCGAGAAGCTTGGGAGCATGACACAAAGCATAGCAGCCTTGCCTGCTCACTGGAAGAGAAATTCTGCAAGAATGTGAGGAGAAAAGGAACAAAAAAATATGATCAAGCAAAGCCCAGATTCCCACATAGCCATTCCCACCATCCTGCCCAGGGCACGATGTCAGTTCTGTCTGGCTTCTCAGAGGAGAAAGCCAGCTGGATGCACATCAGCCTGGAAAATGAGACTGTAAAACCCTTTCTTTGGCCATGGACAGTGCCTGATCATCACCAAAACAAAGCAGGTGAGAGGGAACACAGGGGAAGGAGTAGCTGCCTTTACAGAGAAGGGCAGCTGCAGCTGGTGTGCTTGAAAACCTTGCAGCCACTCTTTAAGGAGAGTATTTCACTCCTTTAAAAAGTTAAAAGGACAGGTGACAAACAGGAGGAGGAGTTTCTAGCCCCATGATATTCCTTTGGCTGGAGCAAGGATGCTGAAGGCTGGACTCACAGTGGAGGTGAGGGGGCTATAAATGGCCAAAGGACCCAGTCCTTCCTTCCCCAGGGATGAGCCAAGTGCCTGATGGGCTCAACCAGGGAAAACCTCAACATCAATAATTAAAGTTTGCTATTGTGGAATCTCTGAAAGAGTGTAGAGAACTGAAAGATGAAACCTCTGGTGTAGAGACACTCCCTCTCAATACAGAGTATATGCATTGTTTATGTAATTAGAAGTTTGGGGTGTATAAACGCTATGCCTTTTTATATACATATAAATTTGGAATTTAGTATAGAATCTTCCAAGCTCAGAAACTCCAGTTGCCAGCTCAACCACCACCATCCTGACGACTTAACAGTGTCCTCAGCAACTTAACAGCTAATTTGAATGCTAATTGTCACACACCTAGGGAGCAATGAGAACACAAACTAATGCTTAGAATAGAAATTTCCTGTTGCTCCTAGGAATTCCCTAGTGCTCTCGATAAAATATCCATGTGCCTTCTAGAAATTTAAATGGGCTTTCTGTGGATTTTCAGTAGGCTTTTTAGGAACTCAGACTGGACTCTAGGAATTTTCCATCACTCACTGAAAATTTCTTTGTGCTTTCTCAGTGTATCCTTGTTCTTTCTAGGAATTGCAGAGAATTTGAAGAGCTTTTGGGCTGGAATTCCAGGGTTCTTTCTGAACACTGTTATAAATGAGAGACAAAAGTCTCGATATTCAGCAAAATTTAGATTGCTTTATTTGATATAGAAAGAGCAAGCAGTGGGCTGGGGAACGTGAGGGGTCACTGCCCACTCCACGCTCCACCCAACCTTGGTTTGCAGCCTCTTCTTATACTGTGGTTTCTCGTTGTAATAAATAATTTTTGGTTTTTTGTTGTCATAAGCAGTGGTGGTTGAATAAACATCCTTGTAGATAACCACCAGCGAAGTTCTGGAAGTCTGGTCCTTGAGATAAGCAGTATTGATCAGACAAAGGCAGGAAGGGCTATTGGGAATTCTGATTTTGCAAGCTGGTAGCCGATACAACTTATTTGGAAAACATAACATAATATAATGTAACATAAAATAACATAATATACCATGACAAGGTGACTTTAAACAGAATGATTTTATCATATAATTTCCTTTATCTAGTGTCCATGCTTCACTTCAGAGTTCAGTATTCTGGTTTATACAAACCCCAATGCTTTTGTGATTAACACGAATCTTTTATCAATTATCACAACACTTTGCTGTCCTTCCTAGAAATTCCACTTTAGGTATTCCACTTTAGGAGACTTTTAAAGGAACAAAGATGATGCTGCGCTGTTTCTGGTTGTCGAAGATGCAGAAGAATGGGTCTTTTTGGTGGAAAACAAGCCTGAAGGAAGCGGGACAGACCCTGGGCAGGATCTAACTGATCATACAATGTTGTTTTAAAGCGTGGAGCTAACTTTTGCCGGAAACCTCATTGAATGGGAAGAAGTTCATTAGCACTGTTAATTGGAAAAGGGACAAGGATTCGATAAGGGGCTTGGCCAATCCTCCCCTTTGCTTTGGTGGGGCTTCCATCACGTAAGGATTTGTCGGACACGTGCGATCCTGGCACGGCTCAGCCTCCTCCCGCCGTGCCCGGGCCCTGCAAAGCTCCGTACTCCTCGCCCGACATCCGACATCTCCTTCAAACGGAACTTCCAGGCGAGAAGGCTTTTCCCTGCCTAAGGAGGAGCGGGGGCACAAGAGCCCCTGTTAAGGTCGTTCGCCATTTAAAATCCCGACCCGACCCCAGCCCCTGCCGGAGCCACCTCAGCCCGCGGCACCCGGCGCTGCAGCTCCGCCCGCCGCACCGCAGGGGGCGCTGTCCGCCCGACTGCCGCGGGCACGCCCCCGCACGTAACGAGCCGCTCCGGGGTGGCGATTGGCTGAGAGCGGTCACGTGCGCGGGACGCGGCGCGGGGGCGGGGGCGGGGCCGCGGTTGCCAGGGCGACACCGGCGGCGGCTGAGGGAGATTGGGACAGGTGGGAATGGGGGACAGGGGGATTGAGACACGTGGGATTGGGGGACAGGGGGGGTTGGGACACGTGGGATTGGGAGACGGGGGGATTGGGACACGTGGGATTGGGGGACGGGGAGTTTGGGACACGTGGGATTGGGGAACAAGAGGGATTAGGACGGGTGGGAGTGGGTGACGGGGGGATTGGGACACGTGGGAATGGGGGACAGGGGGGATTGGGACACGTGGAAATGGGGGACGGGGAGTTTGGGACATGTGGGATTGGGGGACAAGAGAGGTTGGGACAGGTGGGATTATGAGACAAGAGGGATTGAGACGAGTGGGACTGGGGGACGGGGGGATTGGGACAGGGAGGAATGGGGGACGGGAGGGAATGTGGGAGAGATGGGACTGGGGCAAGGGAGAATGTGGGACAGGAGGGACTGGTCCAGGGAGGATGTGAGGCAGTGGGATGTGGGGCAGGTAGACCGTGGGCACCCGTATGTATCTGTGTCTGTCTGTCTGTCTGTCTGTGTCTCTCCTCATGCCCTCTGGAGATGCCGTGCCTGATGGGCTGTGCTGTGTGAGCCCTGTGCTGTGCACTAACACCCCCTTCTTTGTCATTTTCCAGCTTTATGAGCAATGAGAAGTAGCAACAGCCCTTAGCAATGGGTGATGTTTTAGCTTATGAAGCTGAGTTACTTGGACTAGTGAAAGAGGTTCGTTTTCTCTCTTTATTTCTTTTATTTTTTTTTAATTATTTTTTTAAAATTATTTTTGCAAGGCAAGATTTCTCGGTGTTTGCATTCAGAGCCAGGCATTGTAACTGAGGGGTAAATTCTGGAGTTCTTTATCTGCCTAAGTGTTGCTACACTGAAATTGTGCTGACTCCTGTCATGCTCTGTCGATTCTAAAGGCTCAATGTCCGTTAAATGCCAGCAGTAAATTTTCTTCTTTGGTTGAATGGCGTTACTGGCTAAACCAAGGGGCATCATTCTTTCAGAGTGGGTGTACTCAGTTTTCTCTAGGATGCAGGAGGAAATTTAGAGGCAGTATTTTCCTACCACAAGGTATCGGTTCTTGGTTTATCACTTTGCAGTCTTTGGCATTTATGGACCATCCTTCAGAGAAACTTTGGCATTTCATGGGTCATTCATTGAAGCATTGAATCACCTAAAAAAAGGATTAATTATTTATTAAAGCATTAATCATCTAACAAATGTTGTTCCTCTGTGTTTTTATCTTGTAGTATTTGGATTTTGCCGGATTTCAAGAAACAGTGAAAGTACTTAAAAAGGAATGTAAAATAAAAGGGAAGCCACTAACTAAACCAGCAGATGTTTCCTCAGAAGATACATTTCCTGTTCAGGTAATGCATCATTTAAACTTTGAATAATAATGAAAACAGAGGCCACTAACCACCCTGTGAGTTATTACAACATTGAACTCTCTGAACAGATTCTTGATCACTTGAAGAAATCTTCTGGCAGTCTTCTTCCAGCACAGTGACCTTCAAATTTGGGGTTGGGTTGGTTTTTTTTTTCAGAACTGCAGTAATTTTTAACTCAAGGTGCTAGTTTTGATTTACATTACTTCAGGGTTTTACTGACATGCCTGAAAATTTGGGCTTTGCTTCTTGTATTGATGGTTGATTCAGATTCTCAAAGATACTGAAGATACATGAAGAAAGAATATTTGGGTGGTCATTGAATGGTGGGACATTTTTGAATAAAGCTTTTAATTGGGAATGTTCAGATGGCACTGGAATTCTTCATTCACTAACATACTGCTGAGAAAATGTGGCTCTTCTGTGTTTGGGTTTTCACTTGATGCTTTTTCCTTTCACAGGAAGGAATACTTAGAGCATTTGAGGATGGTGATCAGAAAGTTTTCTTCCAGCTCTGGGAGGAGCATATTTTGTCTTTAGTCCATGACAGTGATCCAGTTGCTCAGAACCTGGAGTTCTATCTCCACATCTACTTTGCCACCTTCCTCTTGAAACAAACTATAGGAAAGCCTGTAAGTTTAGTTCACAATTCAGACCTCAGATTGCTGTTGTTTGTTTTACTTAATTTGTCTTTAGTGTGGATGAGGATGGGATATTTTCTAAGAATCATTCCAAGAATATGTATCCAGTTTTGGCCACAGTCTGCATTTTAGTTCAACCAGATCCTTTGTATTGTGGAGTACAAAAATGGAAGTTGAAGCTGTCCTTATCCCAAACTTCCTGAAGTATTTCAACTTGGAAAATACCAAAATGGCAATACTTTCACATTTGTAATTGTGGATCATAGCAGACTCTTAAAACACTTATTTTGCTCTGAGTTTGGACAGAAGCTGTGAGTTAAAATATAATAATTTCTGATTAAATGGGGAATCTCACTTTTGACCAGCTTAATATATCATTCTGAGAAATATAAATCCCAAGGTGTTATAAAATAAAGTCTCTGTTACATGGGACTTTTATGATGAAGAGACATTTAAGTAGCCTGGACACAGCCAGATCAGCCAGGGCTTAATAGCTCCTGGCCTTCACCTGTCAGCTGCTACCGGAGTATTTGGATGCCTGCAGTCTGTTTTCCAGCCTCTGAGGAGCTTTTATTCTGTTCTGTGTGCCAGTTCCACTTCCCAATGCTGTGCAAGTGGATTTTTTTGTTTCTGCGCTTGCTACAGAAATAAAGCATGTCTGAAGTCAGTGTTTTCTCTCTGCCCTGAGTGTAGCAATGGCATTTTTCTTTAAAAATCTAGCCTGAAGTGAACAGGAATAATTTACATGCAAAAATAAATTGTCTTTCTTTGGACCTGGATGACATAAACAACAGCATTGGTTTACATTTTCGTTTATGACTGGTGAAAACATACAGTATGTTCTCTAGTTAAATAAATACTGGTTTTTAGATAACAAATGTTCTGGAATTTCAAACTTGGTATTAATATACCTGGGTCTCTTATTTGCCAACTTTACAGTGCATTCAGAATGATCGTTTTCTAAATTAAATCTGCTGCTTTATTTCCTAGGACAAAGCTGAACTTGAGGAAAGGATTTCTTATTTCAAGGCATACCTGGAAACAAAAGGAGCTGCACTGAGCCAGACTACAGAGTTTCTTCCCTTCTATGCTTTGCCTTTTGTTCCGAACCCCATGATACATCCTTCATTTAAAGAAATTTTCCAGGTTAGTGTCTGTGTTGCAGAGATGGCTTTATGGCTTACACTGGGCACTCTGCACACCATGTGGGTAGATGGTTAGGACATGACTTCCAGAGCTGTGGTTTGATGTTCCAAAGTATTGTTGGCAATACCTGTGGGGAAGGTACAGCCACCATTTCACCTGCTGGTAGCTTGCTCCTGCAGTGCAAAACTGCACCTCAGCTTCTCTGTTGTGCTGGACTTGGACTGGATCAAGGAATTGATTTCTTGCCTGTGAATGTGTGTGTAAACAGCCCCCATGTACACAGACCTACACAGATTTGTTTGTAAAGCATGTATAGTATTTTTTAGAATTATTTGCTCTGAATGCTTCCCTGACCATATGGACAGTTGTGCTGGCCTGGCTGAGCAGCTGTGGGCAGCCAGTCTGGTGCTAGGAGATGTCTTCACCCTGCATTGCTGCCACACTGCTTTTGATACCAAATCAAAGCTTAAGTGGTACTTGCCCTAGGGCTGACTTTGGATGTACCAGCTGATGAGGAGCTCTAGTTTAACACCAAAAAAAGGCATATCCTGCCATTTTCCTTGGGGACTAGCTATAAATAATGAGATAGACTGGTTGACCTCAGAGATGGAATATGAGTACTCTTTTTTAATTATACTTAGCAGCATTTTTTTTCATGCCTTATCTAAGATGAGATTCTCAGGTTTATTCTGAGTAACCCAGTGTCCAAGTTCTTAGTCCACACTCACTCATATTTTCTTGTGGGAATTGTTCAACTCATTCCATGTTAGTGTTGAAACACAGATTATTTTATGTTTGAGAAAGAGCAGCAGTGAGTCACTAGTTTACTAAGCAGAGTTCTTATGGCATATATTTTTCTCAGGCATCTGATGCTTTATATAGCTGGAGTTCCTGTCAGTTTGTGTAATACATCTTGAAAAATCATGTGCACTCCTCTCTGTAGGAGACAAGGTTCCTTTGGTAACATACAGTGTGCTATGGTACACCACTGTCTGGGTACTGAGTTGGTGAATGCAACAAGTAAATTCTGTACACTCTCCAGCGTGGTGAAATAAGGGCAAATCTGAGCTGTGAGAACAGCTTGCAACATATGTGTATACAGCAGTAAATTTAGGTAGCTCCTGCTACTTGTTGGAAGACAGAGCTTTTTTTTTTTTGTTGGCTGACTTTTCCTAAAGCAGGAGCCAGCTTCACTGAAGGCTTGAAATAGAAGACATGAGTATTTGGTAGATTCCTAGATGTAGTTTGACTTTTTTCCTTAACTGTTATTTTCTTGTGCATATGAGACACTACGTCAGTCAGAGGCCAGCATTCCAGTTAATGCTGCTGGTCTGTTCTGCTGGTCTGTTTTTCCTGCATGAGCTGTTTTTCTCCAAATCCTTATTTTAGAAACATTGTACTCACCAGTGTCATGTCATGAGGCTTGCAGTAGTTATTGTCAAAACTTAAAATTCCCAGGATGAAAACTCTAATACATGTGAAAATATTTTTTATCTTTTTCTCAAGTTGCTCATCTTTTAAAGGTGCTTTTACTTTCGGGGCAGTTATTGTATGTACATACAAGGCACCAACACTATGTGATAGTTTTGTACTTTATTTAAAGATACATTGTGTTTCTAGAGCTCTTGTCTAGGAATAATACTGAACTCCCTCTGACTTCTGTATGCTTTTTTGGGGAGCGAGCAAACACATTCACTTCAGTAACAGTGAAGGGAAACCCTTTTCAATCCAATGCTGGTTGCCTTGTTTACTAGTGGGAAGTTGCTGTGATCCGAGCAATACTTTCTGCAGAGTGTACGTATTTGGTGAACAACTGTCATTGTTTGTTTTTCTATTCAAGGATTCTTGGACACTGGATTTAAAGACAAGATTGGAAAACTTTCTGTCTCTGACTCTCAAATCCAGACAGACTCCTCGGCTTCTCACTATATTTGTATCCTTCTAAGAAAACACTTTGCAGATAACTAGAAATATTGTAAAGAGGCAGTATAATTTATTGCACAAGTGTGCTGCTAAGATTTATTGCAGAATTGCAGTAACCTTGTATTTCAGAGTTTTTATGACAGGAAGCATTGTTTATATTCCACATTCAAAAACAAACTTTTGAGAAGGTCGTATAAAGACCGTGTACAGATCCGTATGAACCTGAATTGATCATTCTTTGTTTCCATGTATAAATACAGAATACCCAAAGGCACCAACCTGACCTGACTTGTTTTTTTAGCATTTTTAAAGCTGTTAGTCTTTTAAATTAGCCATTTCAGGGACTAGCTGGAAGTTTTCCAGGGCTTTTAAGGATTCTAGAAATTATTTGGTCACTCACAGGTCAGCAAAATATCTCAAGTCCCTATGCAACATTGTGAGCTGTGCACTTGGGAGATTTTAATCTATTTATTGTTGATTTATGTATTCTGTGGAGCATCAGGCACTGGCTGTTGGCTGGGACAGTAGGAATATCTAGCTTGGCTGAGTTTCTCATTCTGAATCTCTGGAACTCTGAAAAGATGCACATTTTCCTGAACTGTTGCTCTTACTCATGCAACAGAAGGAGAGTGGACAGTGCAACAAAGGTAAATACTGGGCCATGGTAAGGATGTTCTGTAAAATTGTCAGGGACTGTGAAAGTAGTGGGATGTTCACCTGCAGGGGTGGGGAAACCAGTGATGCATGGCAGAAAACCTTTGGAGATCCAGACCCCAGCTTTGGTGATAGCTATTGATAGCTTTTCGAGCTCAGTAAGTGCTTGAAAAGCAGTCGATAAGTATCAATGAGAATGGACTAGAAATGGGAAAGGGCCTTGTAGTGGGATGTGTATTAAACATGTATTCTGTCCTGAAACATGGTAAAAACAAGTGGAGAACTCCATACAAAGTGCATACCACCTGTCCTTTTCTAGTTCTGATGAAGTTGCCTCCGATTCCTTTCCCTTGCTTCCAGGTTTTACGTCTCATTCAGTTGTTCTCATGACTGTCTGATGATCTTAGACAAAGTTGATTTTTGGTTCTATTTACTCATTTTGTTTAAATGGAACATCTTAAAATGGTGCATGTCAGTATCTCCTGAATGTGTTTCATGTGGCTGATGTGTTGCATTTTGAGGTAAGCTGCTTATACACACTTTAATGTATGTTGTGTGACTTGGGGCCCTTTAGAAATAATAATTTCAGCACAGAATCCTGTTAGATGCTGATAACACTTAAAATATATGCCTATTAAAAATCAGTTCCAATAAATAGAACTTAGGTTTCCAACTACCTTGCATTCATTTTTTCACTTGACTTTCTGCATACTCTTTCTAGTTGGGAATCTCCGTAAGACCAGTTGGATTCTTAAAATTGCTTTTCCCTCTTGAGTTATTTTAATCTGTAGGTTTACTGTGAGGATTTACTTTTTGTAGATTGAATTAAGCAGAAAGTTAGGTTTTCTCCCAGTGTGAGTTCCATGTATTTTCTTTGTTATTTTGTGCTTTGTGTTGTTGCATTAGACTTTCACGGAATAATAGAAAGGTCTTTTGGATTTTTATTTTCCAGAAGTTACACTTTTTCTTGTGGAGGACTTTCCTGAAGGCAATAATCCCATGCTCTTATTAAAAAGAAATAACTATGCAATTGGACCCGACTTATGTGGGACCTAATTATTTTTAATTTGGGCAGGTTCTGTGCATTGTACAGGGACTGTCATGGAATTCAATTCATGCAGATCAGCCTTAATTTACAGATCTGTTATGTACCTTGGAGGTTGAGTTAGTTTGGATTGTTCATAAAGGTTACTTGAGGACTGTCTTGTATGAAGGTTTTGGATCCAAGAAGCTATTTTTACAGTATCCTGCTTGCATCACATGGGATCCACAGCATTTACTCCCCACATAAAGAATATAATGATAAAGAATATTTACTTTATCAGTGAAGGGGAAATGCAAAGAAAATGTATAGGGGACATATGAATGAAGAGCAGTATGGTAGAGTCCCAAAAACAGCCTTTTGTAAATAGTTGCCAGTCATCAGTCTGACATGCTGGAGTATTTGAAGTTTGGGTGGAGTGGTGTAAATGCTTTTGAGGGTATCCTGGAGTGTTCAGTGTGTTTACCTTGCCTGATTTACCTGCTATAGTCTGGCTTTTTACCCATTTGTTAAAAAAATTGAGTTCCTGTGTGACTTCCAAAGTTATTTGGCAGTTGTGCTTAACTTACAGTTCTCCCATATGTTTTCAGTTTGGCTGGAAAGGAAAAAATTGCAGAATGGTTGGCATCTTGCACAGAGAATTTCAGACCTTCTTTGTGTCCTCTCTGCTAACAGGAACTGAGGGAACTAAGTATTTGGAAGTGTGTTCAGCTTCTGTTTCCTTCACTGCCTCATTACAAATCTCTGGATGGGTTCACAGCCACTCTTCCACCATTTTGAGGAGGGGGAGAGTAGAGGAAGTGTGTCAGGCTCCTGCACTAGAGAAGGTGGAGTGTGACCTACCTGTCTGTGAAGATTTGCTGAAGTCTAAATGACTATTTTTGTGGAAAAATGTCAGTTTAGAATATGGATAGTAATTTTTAAGCAGGAAGGAGAGTCCTGCTTCTCCTGTGAGCAAGATTTGGTGTCCAACAGCAGCTCCTGAGACCTGGAGCTCCTCTGCTCAGAGCTCTGCTTCACTTTGTGCAGGAGCTTAGCTGGCTGGAGTCAGTGCTTCTGGACAAATATGTGAAGGTAGGCTGAGATTAAACAGAGACAGAGTAAGCACAAGTTCAGGAAGTGTGTTCCAGGTGTAGGTAAGTTGTAAAGGAAAACAACCAATCTCTCACTTAGAGAGAAAAGGTTATCATGGAATTAAGTGCATATGTGTAACTCTTTGGCTGCTTGTAGGAACTGGAGTTAGAAGACTTGACAATTACACACATGAGAGAGCAGGCAAGAATTCTGGTAGAAACACATAGTAGTTCAGATGATGCCTAGTGCCAGCATCTTCATTTGGCAGTCACAAGCTTTGCTGTATCTTGTATCTTCCTACACTAGGAGGTTAGTTCTCTGTGCTGTATTTTTCCCTCTTTTCCTCCCCATATGAATAATGTTTCTGGTAGGTATTTGGTGCAGAGCTTTTCTTCCCTACTTCATGAGCTTGTCATATGTGCGAAGCATTTGTCAGTGTTGAGAATAGTGTCTGGGAAACAGAGAAGCCACAGTGTTACTCTGGTTCCTGTAATGGTGCAGTTTCATCACTCCTGCAAGGTGACATAAATGTCAGCTGAAATGCCTCTGAAAGGTACAATTTCCTTTTACCAAATCTGGACTGGAATGGCAATGATTTAAACAAGGAATTCAATACTAATTTTTACCTGGGTTGGTAGCTCCCTGATTTGTCTACATGAATGCTGTTATGGGGATATGGCAGGAATGCAAGGAGGGAATGAAGCAGCACAGGACCAGCTCTTCCAACAGCTGTCTGAACTTGGAACAGCTGCTTGCCAGTGATGAGAGCTTCCTGCCCTTTCAGCAAAAGAAGCTGTCATGAAAGACTTTCTCCTTTTCAGTAAATTACTTATGTGTGAGAAGATAGTGATATAAAAAATGCAAGATATGCCAAGATTTTGTGATACCTCTCAGACTCCCTTTTCTCAGCTTATTATTGACAATCCCTAGATTTAACAACCAAGGGGTAAAATTGGACCCTGTTTCTGAATTTCCGAGACCGGCGTTCATGAGCTGCATTGAGTTTTAGTTACATAGTTTTTTCCCTGCTGACTGCAGTTGGAAGACGTATTTTCATCACTGGAAATTTTACTCACTGGGCTATGAAAAGTCAGTAAACTCTGAGCAGGTTTATGCTTTGGGATATGGTGCTTCCAACTTCCCTGAGTGAAAGTCATGCTCTAGATACAACCATTGGAAATTTTTGAATTGAATGTATTGTGTCACAGTTAAATAAAAATGCATTCCCATTTGCTTATCTAGGCAACAAAATAAAAGTCTGGAATAACTAGTTTTGTGCTAGTTTAGGTTTCTCTCAGAATCTTTGTTAGTTTAGAGAAATGGTCTTGTTATGAAGCTGTATCATGTTAAAGCTGTGGTAGCAGTTTAACAGTAACGGCTGTGAAATAAAAACAAAATCAAAGTTGAATTATCATCAAGGCTGAATAATTTGGTTGTCTTTGGAAGCTATCTTAACTCTTCTGATTTTTAAGTTAATATAAGTGCATTTTTCTGGATTTGAACAGAATCTGTGGCTTGTCACAGCTTCTCTTGTTACTTCACACCAGGTTTAGCTCCCTCCTAGGAAATGTGAGAAGTATCATTAGGGTGGCTTGATTTGCAGCCTGGTATGAGGTATCAGTCACAATCCCTGCAGGTGCAGAATGCTGTGGTTCATGAATGGGTCTCAGAAAGCAACCATGCTTAGAGGAAAGGAGGCTTTGTGAGTAAAATAACTGTCTTGTTGGTTTTTTTTTCCTCTTAACTTGTAGAAGTATGAAAATACACTTTCTTGTACTCCATGTTTTATTTTAAGACTCAGTTTATAGCTAAACCAATGCACATTTTCTCTAGAAGATCCCATTGAAAAGATAACTTTGTTGTATTTTCTGAAAGCAAAAATAGGCTGTTCTGCTACCTACTTTAAATCTCATATTGGGCTATTTATTACTTTAACCCAGAAATATTTTAAATCTGTGAGAGGGAATCCTACTTTTGTCTGAAACTCCACAGTCAAGCTGATTCCTTCCCACTGTTTAACAAAACATCCTATGGTAAATACTGGGTCTGTTTGCAGATGGGCCCCATGCCATTTTCACAACACTAAAGCAGTACTGGCTTCTCAGCAAACTAATTTAAAACATAATGTTCTAGCAAAATACACAGCGTCAACCATAACAATAGAATTATTGTGCCTCCCTTCATGGTTTTGTCTGGTCACAGAGATGTGCACTGTGCACCACGGCTCCAGGTTCCCTGCCCAGTTCCATGCAGAATGCTGGCTTGGCTGGGTCTGAGACTGGGGTGGAGGACACAGATTCTGGTACTTTGGTCTCTAAAGTAATTGAACCTGAAGGAACAAAATGTATCAGAAATATAACTTTTTTATTATTAACAAAAAAATTAAATACATTTTTGAGTTATTTTCAGAAACCGAGGATAATAAAAGTAAGTGACGTAGTTTGCCATCAACCATTAAATAATGCATTATCCTCTTCATAAGTGTATTCAGTGATGTTTACTGCCCTACAGTTGTGTTGCTACTTTAACTGTGAAGCAGTTGGTTCTTTGGACAATTAATAAATACCTAGGTGTTGCAATGAAAAGGAATCTTGCTAGAGGTGTGAAATTATCCTTGTAGGTAAATTCCACACCTCAGAAATTGAGGTTGTCCCTTCAGAGCAGTAAAAATGCTTGTGGGTTCTTTTGTCCTTTTGTTTGAATAGGTGATGCTATTTCTTTTTTTATTATTCTCTTGACAGAAATGATGCAACATCTTCATCAACAGTTAATCAAGCGTGAGCAGAGGTACATGACCAACCTGAAACGACTTCACAAATTGCAGATGGACTACCGTAATCTCCTTGGAGTCACTGCAGAGCTGGTGGATTCTTTGGAGGCCACAATCACTGGCAAGATGGTAAGAGATGACCCAGGTGTGCTTCCACACCTACCAGGAAATGGAGACCAAAGGTTGAATTAAGCTTTGTACTTATGAGCATTTCTGTGAGAGCTTTGGCTCTTTACGAATGAAACACGGCATTTTGGATGAGCAGTTCTTCCATTGCCCTGGTGGTGGAGGATAAAAGAAGTGGAAAAAATGGGTTGAATTGTGCTGTGGCTCAGAAATCTTGAAAAAATTATCACCATCTCACAAGACACCTCAGATTTCTTTTGAGCTTTGGCATCAGCAATGATTAGAGGGCATTTTGGTGATTACTGACTGCAGTCTAGCCCATCAACAGTTGTTGTGTATTTAAAACTTCTGTCGGGTCTGTTTTAAATTCCACGGTAGTGGAAACAAAATTCTTATCCAAAGTTTTGGTGTGGAAAAGCTTTGCTCTTTGTTCTGCTAAATTGGACTTGTTAATTTAATTGATAAAGGGAAAAAGGGAAATAGGAGTGAGTGAGTTATTTATCATGTGAAATGGGCCACATGTATGTGACTGGAGAAGGTACAACTTTCTTAGGAGTGTTTTTTATATGAAGTTGATTGTCTTCTTCATGTGTTGTGCTGTCTCCTCTGGGAGCCTAAGTTCTGTGTAACCTGAAGGCTATTCTTAAGGTAGATGTTAGTGGCCACTAAGTGCTTTTAAAGGACCTGTGAATTGTTAGCAGGGAGAATGACCTGGCATTTCCTGTGCTGCCTGCTGAAAAGTCAGTATGTACCTTCCTCCTGTCATGAGCATGAACACCTTATGGTTTGTTACTCTAGATCTGGGATCACTGCTCACTATTACTGCCGGGAAGAATTTGCCTTTGGGTGGATTATGCTTTACAGCAGATTAGGGAAGGTATCTGCTCAACAATAAAATCCCAGCCATTCATTTGCTGCCTCCCATTTCACACCTCCGTGCTCTCCAGCCGATATCCAATTACCCTCTGTAGCTGGGAACCGGACCCTGCTTGTCTTCGGTTGCGGATGTTGTTCAGTTTCCTTAGTGAGCCTTGTGCAGGGCACTCGTTTGATGCTTCCCAAGTGTGTCCAGCTGAGGGTGCTCTTCCGTTATGCATCCTGGATTCTGTCATTTCTGAATCCAAAGTGGAGTTGAGGTACTGAATAAAGTGATATAGAAGTTACAGCGTTCTGAATTTGAAGGGGTTCGTTTTCCTGCTGAAGGTCTAGGAATATCAGAAGTGTTCCCAGTGGCATTTCTATAATCTCAGCCCTCTCATCTCTCTTGTGGGGAAGGTACTAACTTTCCTGAAATTAAGCTGTTTTGTTGAGGTGTAGATTTCCTAAAACAAAAAACTAAACCCACTGAGATATTTTGCATTGAAAAACAAAGTGCTGTACTGTGTAATTCATATTTATGCCCTCTGCTGTACAGGACGGTTATGTAAATTCTGTTCATTAGGTAAACAACACATCAGCATTGTTTCAAGCTCAAAACTGCTTCATTTTTAAATTTGATTTGAATTTGAACCTTTTGATTCACAAAAGACTGTATGCAATAGAGTTGTGACAAAATCTGGTTTTCTCCTAGATTCCTGAAAGTATTTAGCACTAGTCTTGCAAATAACATAACAATTCCCAGATGAAGAATTTACAGTTTTAAAAATTTCTGTACAGATTGGTAGTTGCAGTATATACCTTGTGCTTGTGTCAGTGAGCCTCAGGTGTGTGATTTCTTATTCTTTAAGAAAACGAAACAAACAGCCTTTAATATAGAAACACTTGTCTGGTAGAAAGTGTAAGTTTTAGGTAATCCTATTCTCACTTTGTTTCCTAATTTCTAGATTACACCAGAATATCTTCAAAGTGTTTTTGCTTGCTTGTTTAGCAATCATTTGAAACAAACTGTAGCACACCACATTGACTTCTCAAGGCCTGGAACTGTAAGTATAAATGTTTGGGATTTTTACAGTAACTGTCTTAAAAGGCAATACTTCTTAAGCTACATATAGAACAATAAATGGTCTGTAATGGGAAAGACAAAATATAATGTGTTCAAGCTTGTGTAAGAATATGGCAATATATTGTTTTGTTGATCTCAGATGCTGGTCAACGACCTGGTTGTCTAGTTATATCTGTGTAAGTATGGCTAATTCTGTTATTGTGAGAACAGTAAGATTTGTATCACTTAAAATGCTAACAAAATGCTTTAAAAAAACCCAAACCAAATCCTAAAACTAATGTTCTGAGTGTGGTTTGATGGCACATCTTAGCCAGTTTATTTTAGCTAAAAAAGGGAGTTGTGTTGCTCAGCTCTGGACTCATGCTCTGTCCCTTTCTGTTGTCAGTGATGCTCCTATAACTCTTCAGAGAATTGGCTGAGCCAGTTGAAGGAGAAGCATCACACAGGATCATGAGAACAAATATGGAAAAGAGGAGGAAGAGCCAGTTTTACATGAGCAGTTAGCTGATACATCTAAGCTACATTACTGATTTATTACTGTTTTTTTTAACATTCTATATGAGAAACTTTGATCTTATTAATAAGCAGCTCAGGATCCCTAGGGCTGTTTTTTGGCCACTTGACCATTCTCTGGTTTCTTTTCAGATGACTGCAGTACACCTTGCTCATTTATGTTCTGCTCAATCACTTCTGCCTAAGTGGGGAGAGAGTTTGGGGGTTATTTTCCAGCAGCACAGCCAGCTTAGGATAGTTTCTAGTGTCTATGAAACTATTTCTGTGAGATTTAAAATTATTTAATGATAGTGTAAGAACTGTTCAGTGGTACAACTTCTTTTAATACCTCGCTTGTTCAAGCTTTTTAAATAAGCATTAATCATAAAACTACATCAAACCATTTTACTAAGAAAATGTTGTCTACCACTGTTTCACAAAGACAAGCCAAAATCATGAACTGTCCTTATCATTTTTGCCATGGCAGGCATTCATGTGTACTTAACTTTGTAGCAGGAGAACTTAGTGAAGTGTCAAAGGAAGAGCAGAAGAAAAAATTCCTGCTCCTTATTCTAGCCAAGGTTTTTAATAACAATGATGCTATGGGTACATTTTGTTCCTCTTGAAAATTTGCTACAGAAAGATAAGGAGATAATACAAATGCTTCCTTTTCTATGTGCTAACATTTTCAGAGATAAGTGTTATTCCTCATTGCTCTTCAAGCTGTTTTAAATCCCCTCACTTTCCTGTTAATGGTCAGAACTCCTTTCTCTGACCTGCCATGAGTTTAGGAGATGCACTCTTATGCAGCCTGCAAAAGCTGTTATTTCAAGTTCCAGGAAGGAGCCAGGATGTGTTTGTTTGCTGCCTTGATATCAGGTGCTGTCTGCTGCTCCCCTCTCCTCAGATTTACATCATATCCATAGCTTATGTCATGTCCTATCCCATAATGTCCCTCCTCCCACCCCATCTTTCTTCTAACCAACGGCTTTCAGAGGTCTTTCCTCTTTCCTTGCCAGTGGCTTTTTGAGATAATGCTTTAGGTACCCCAGTAGTCTTCTGTATTTTTGCCATCTGATGTTGAGGACGTGTGTATTTCTCCTTCCCTGTACTGAGGTCATCCATTCTGTACAGCCACGTGCCCTCTTCTCTCTGTTCCTGTTCTCTCCTTTGCATCAAGACTTCTCTTTTTCTCCTGTGCTTTCAAGGTGTTCCATTTGCCCAGAGTTTTTCCTCATTATTTCTATTCTTCTTATCATACATTGATCCTCTAGTCTCTTGAACCCTTTTAGAAAAGAGGCAGAGGGAAGAGTGTGATCCTTATGCAAGGTTCTGATTTCTGCTTCCCTAAAAATGTCTCTAAAAGCATTTCTGCTCCAAAAGCGCCTTTACCACTGTACTTATGACACTGTGGCCACTTTGACACAGTCTTCAGCTATGCAGATAGGTTAGAGAAAGAGGATATGTTGGTGGTGGATTTTTTTTCCCTGCTGGAAGTAAATTTTTGTCTTCCTTAACTAGGTTAACCTGAGTAAAGCTGTGTTCTTCTTGCACAGTTGTATCTATTTTTAGTACTAAGCTTTGCCAGCAGAACTATTTCTGTGTGACTTTCTGGGTCATTTATCCACACTATTTGAGGTAGTTCCTGTGGCAGCCAAGCTCTCTAGTGGAGGACCAGTCCAGTTTTAGCCCTGAGACTGTTTAGCTTAAGGGTTTCTACACTGGTTTAGGTCACACCTTGACATTGCGGTTCTGGCAGCTACTGTGGTTGAACTCTCATGTTGTTTCTATAAGCAGATCCACACAGGCTCTCTGAGGCATTAGCTATGTTTTGGAGGGTTAATCACAGTCTTTGCATATAGATATTAACTGCACCATAATCAGGTTTCTTCATTTTATCCTTTTGTCCCCTCTTGACTGATCATATTTTCTTGTTTATTTCCCATGTAAAGAATTCTGGTTTTATACATGAATGGCAAACATATAGAAACACAAATAAATGTTAGAAGAAAAAATATATATTGTTTTATGAAAAAAGAGACTTCTTTATCATCCCAGAATATTTCTAACCACTCCCAGGCTTTGTTGATGCAGGAAGCCAGATGAGATGAACTAAAATTCTGATTGTTTGCCACTACGCCACTCAGGCATGCCATTACTTTTTCTTCAAGGATTCAAGTACTTCTTTGTTATACACTCAGATGTTATTGTTCTACTCTTAAGTGGTTTCAGGTTTTTACATAAGTTTTGGACTAAAGCTGGAGGCACTGTGACCCAGACTGAGTAGTAGCACGAGTTCACAGCATCTGTACTGGATTTGTGTTGGAAGGCTCCTTCGCTTTTTGCCCATAACTGCTTAGAGGCCTTCGTGTGGTCTTTGCAGCTACTCCATTTCACAAACCTCCTTCTGCTGTAAGGGGCAGCCAGCTCCATAACTGCAGAGGGAAGAAACTAGCATAGGAGCAGCTACTTTGTTCATCCTTACCTTACCATCATCTTACCTCATTCTCTAGGCAAGATAAGTGAGAGGCTTAAAAGAAGCAGTCATTGTCTAAAGAGTTTTATCAGGCATTAATTATGGTGATTTGTTGGTTTTGTCTTTTTTTTTTTTTCTTCTTCACCTTGACTGTTCAGGATGATCCTATCTCACTGACATCACCAATGTCAGGACAAGACCCTGAAATAAATTGCTTCTGCTGGATCAATATCTCTAAATAAATGAGCAGAAAAAGAAGTCATTAGCAAGAAAATTACTTTTTTTTGTTGTACTGTCATGCAGCCTTAAATTTCCACCGCTGTTATTTAGGGTATGAGTGGACTTGCATTACATAATTTGGAAAGAGGAGGTGCTTGAGTTTGCAGCCAGTTGTACTCATGCAACTCACAGGACAATCCACGTTTTGGGTCAGGTTCTGAGAGCAGAAAATGCTAAAACTTCATCATTCTCTGAGATCTGTACTTGAGTTTTAGAGTATATTTTGTTGAATCAACTACACTAGTAGTTTTTAGTTACACTGGGAAGGAGAATATGAGTACTGTAACCAAAATGAAGTATTGTCCAAGGAAATTAAGGAGTATACCATGGATTATATCCTTGGTAGCATTATTTGCATGCAAAGTTAATTTTGTTCCCAGTACATTCTGTTCAACTTTTAATGTTGGGGAAAGTCGTATTGTGTAGTAGACAGCTGTGAGGTCTCGGGCTTTGAAATTACAATAAAGGTGACCTGTTTCAGTGTTAATGTGCAAACATCAGCTTCCTGGCTTGCCCCCCACCATGGCTGTCCTTTCAAGCTTGAAGAAATTTGTATCAGAAGAACAAATCCCAGAGGCAAGTGTTGCTGACCTGGCTTTAAGACCTGATGCAATGACAGCCAAAAGACTTTTCTGTTGTAATCATACCCCGAAATCTTATTTAGCAAGGGCTTCTAGTGTCAGCTTTATGTTCTCTGGTGAGCTGGATTGGATATCATTCTTTGCTGAACAACTCCATGTCTCTTGCCAGCTCTGTGACCTCCTGGGTCAGCTCGTGAGCCTGATCTACAATCCATTAACAGGATGCATCTGCTGCTTGCAATGGGAGAGAGGCCACACTACTTTGTTACAGTTGGGAGACTTTCCAAGGCCTCTCTAAAGCCGTCTTTTACCCTAAGGTTTTTCTCTTAGCTGCAGTTGAATGTTATTGTCACTTTCCATCATGTCATTTGACATGTGTGGTCCTGAATTGAGAGACAAGAAATCTAAGAAATTTGTCAGAACAGAAGGTGTGCATTTAAGAATAGAAGGTCAGAGCAGCAGGTCTGACAAGCTGAGGAAACATTTATTTGAAGATTTAATGGATTCTTGACTTCTTAGTGTTCCTTTGGATAGGGAACTGATGTGGGTAATGGTAAATTTGAAAAGTATAGTTTCAAGTACAGTAATCTATTACAGGACTATCACAGTCTCTTAAAATTTTAACACTCTTGAGATAAGTCAATTTTTACCCTTTTTTTTTTTTTTCATTTCTAGTCTTGGTTTGGCTGGTGGATTAGAAGCAGCGGTTGTATGTTTTGATGCCTGCAATTTTCTGTTCAATACCCATCATGTATTTGTCAGGTGTTGAGAGGAGAACTTCCAAATATATCACAAGAGAGACACAACAATTTCAGTTCTAAGACATATAAGTGTGAGGGTTGGGAGAACATGTTTATACTTTTCTTTTCAAAGCTAATAGTCGATTAATTTTTAGCTAATTTCTATTGGTTGTTTTTTTAGGACTGTGCATTCCTCTGTGATTTATTTCTGTTAACTTATTTTTTTAATCTTCTTTATTTTAATGTGTGTCTGTTTGCCTATAAAGGGATATTACTCTATGAGCCCTTGTGATGACGGATATGTAAGTGTCTATCTTTATTTCCTTTCACATTGCCTGCTCAGTCTGTCACAGTCTGTATTTCTCCTTATTTCATTTATTTTATTTAATATGCAGCAATTTTCCCACATTTTAACTTTTAATGACATTAACTGTGTGACCAGAAAATGTCCAGGGCTTGGAAATTCTGCATGGGGAATGGAATAGATGTTCTGGGTAACCTTATGGCTTCATAATGCACATAACACAGCATGTCAACATAAGAGCATCTTTGTCCACAACCTTTACATGAAACACAGCTTCTTGCAGCATGCAGAAAGCAATTGTTTCTTCCACGGGATCATCTGTATATAATGTACTTTCTCTCTGAAGTGTGCCAAAACCAGCTGACCCCACAACACTTTTGACAAATCAAATAAATATTATTGCTCAAGATAATCCAGCAAGTTGAGTCGTGCTGTTCAGAGGGGTGTTGTATTCTACATATTTGTATTTTTAGTTCCTAAAGTCAAACTTCCTTTCAGTAGTAAAGATTATGAAATTCTTTCACGCAGTTAAAATGATACTCTTTCACTGAAAACACAAAATTATATTCTCTGTAGTGCCTGTGACTTCTGTAACCCAGATGGAAGTTTGTATTCTGGCAGTACTGCAAGTACACCATAAGTATCTAATTTTGCCCATAGTCAGTGCATTCTTTGTGAAAAAAGGAAATGAGTCGACTTCTAAGTAACTCAGTATGTAATCAATTCATAAAAGAGATTGACACCAATTCTGAAAAATGCCAGTAAATTTAAAATGATACATATTTATATTTTTATCACTTTTTTTAGGTAAAACAAGATTTTGCCTTTCAAGAAAAGCTGCCTAAATTTCAAACATATATATGACCTACAATTAAAGTAAACCCTTGTGGGCATTCAACTTCCCACTTAAAACAACATTTCATTTTGAGAAATAGTCATAGAAGTATTGAATGCAATGGACTATTCCTTACATCTTTATTTTTATCTTGATATAGAGAACACTACCTACATTCACCTATGGTGGACGATCACCTTTATCAATCAACCTGTTCCCATTGGTGACATGAATGTTCATAATGGACACTTTTTGCTTGATGTTAAGCATTTTGTTCCTTCATCTAATGCTTTGTTTTGAGATTGAGAAAGGTTGATGACAGGTGAGCAATTACTAATCAAATTATTTTTGCTGAAGAAGAACCTTTTCCTTATATAGATTAGTATAAAACATTAGTTAAATGTAACTTTATACAATGTAGAATGTAACAGCTTACTGTGCAGATGTTTATAAAATATTTGTAAAGCTGTCTGACTCTGCCTCTGAGGTATTTTTTGAATACATGGGTAGCTTTCAGCTCCCCTCACTGTTTATGTATAGTATTTTATACTTCTTTCTGACATTTGTGTTGTCATTACATTATCACACAGTATTACAGTGTGACTTTTTAATGTACACATCAGATGTCTTAGAGAACCTGTTTTATATGGCAAGTGGGAAGTTTTCATAACAGCATATCTCTAGTATAAATATGAAAAAACCATTAAAAACATTTGCAGATCTTCTTATGAAATAATGCTTTGCATAGCCTCAGTAGACCTGCCAGGTTACACAAGCTCGGGTCTAATCCCTCATAGGCTGCACAGAGCAGTCTTCTTGTTATTAGTGTGTAACAAATGAACTCAACATAGATTTGTGAGATCTAATGAATTGTAGAAATCTGCTCAGATTTTGGTTTTGCTCTTCACATATTCATCACATATCTTTGATTATTAGTTCTGAATCTGCATTGAGTTTACACTGAATTCTTACAGCACATTTGCAGAATGGAAACTGAGGACAGAATCTGGCTTTCAGCTTTGCCTTTAGCATATTATGAATATATACATCAAACAGCAAAGGGGATATGGCTTGAATATGGAGCTGCAGTATTCGATAAAATCAGTTGTGGTTTTGGCTTGCACATGAAGTGCATCTGCTTTCTTTTATAAATACTGATTTTTTTTCCCTTTGAACTTCTTTGGTTTATTCCATGCTGTTCATATTCATGCCTGTCTTTGTTTAAAAATAAAGGGATGCCATCTGTGGCTAATGTGCGTCGTGACAGAATTATTTGACTTAATGTGGCACCTGGTTTGGCTTTGGCAAGAACCAACACAAACATAAGTCATATCCCATGATCCCAGCAGAATGAGCTGTGCTTGGGCTGTTTTTTTCTTGTGTTTCTTCTTCTTTCCTTAAGTCTGCATTAAGCTTAAGACTAAGCTTCTGCATGTCTTTCAGTTACGAAAAATTATTCTCTCTCAAGATAGGTTTTGCATGAAATGTATTTTTTTCAAGATGAAGTCTGTGAGTATTGGGACATAGGAACATGTTCACCCCAGGTTCTTCACACTCTGTCTTTCATTTGCAACCTAAAGTATACCGTTACTCAAAAGGTTAAAATTATGGTTAGCCTATTCCAGGAAAGACTGGGGGAAGGGCTTGGGAGAAAATGCTGAGAAAATAAATCTTGTAATCAAAGAAAAATTAGTAGAAGAGGAGCTACTAAATCATTTCTGTTTATGGTGATTGTGCCATAAGCATTCAGTTGTTTAATAGCAAAATGATAACTTTTAGCTCTTGCACTCTGCCATTCATTGGTAGAGCTCAAAACACAGCTTGTTCAAGAGATTGATGCCTGTATCTGCGTTTCAGATGAGAAAAATTGAGGCCCAGAGACGTGAAAGATGTGTTTGGAATCAGTCTGCAGTTGGTGGCTGAATCAGGACTAGAAGTGTATCTCCTGAGCCAATGCCTTACTCAGCATGCAGATTAGGTTACTTATGACTAATTTCAATAATGCAGATGAAAAGGAAGAAAGGGACCCTCCGCCTGTAACATGGTTGCATTCTTTCTGCTTATCAGTGCTGTTGACCATAGATTGAGAAATGACAGTGCAGTGAAGAACAAACTAGCCCCCCAAAACTTTTGCCATTCTTGTTTAGCCTTGATGATTGAACCTGATATAATCTGAGCTTTATCCTTATTGCTTTCCCAGAAACACCAAAAGCCTGGAAGAACTTCCTTTCTTCTGTGTAGGTTCTAGACTGATATACTGGGTCTGATCAGCAAAGTGACCAGAAGTCTTTCCAGCTCAGTGGTTGTGCCCTCAGAGCCCCCCAGTGCAGGGCCTGCCTCACTCTGGTGCCTTTTTAGTGTAGGAAGAGTACAGAAGGAAACCATAGTAAATACCTTGCTGTGCTCCATCTGCTGGCTAAAAGTAATTTGGGAGTTAATAGGACCTTGTCTGTTTGACCTGAATGTTCTTCCAGTTGAAGTTTCTGTAGTTTGAAATTTTATATAAGCTTGCAAAATCCTACACTTGACAAAAAGTTTTATTTGTGTAGAAGAGTGATATGTGTATTTTAACTAGTTATCCTCTGGTTAGATTTTGGTTGGAGCACATGTTTTTCTTTCTAAGACAGCAAAGAGATGCATAAAAAAAGACTGTTGACAAGCAGAGAATCTTTATATACATTTATATGGCTGTAGTGCCCTGCTCTGTTTTGTTTCACACTACTATTCTCTGTTTGACCTTCCATCTCCAAGGGCTCTGTAATTTTTTTTTGCATTCAAGTGCTATAGTCACTTTCTTCCTTTGCCTCTAATGGAGAAAGGTGCTGACAGAGGCAATGAAAATGATTTGTGATTTCATTGCACATGCAGCTACAAGGTTATAGGTTTTGACTGGTAAAACAGTTTTGTTTAAACAAAATTAACTTTATACTTATCGAAAATGTAAAGGAAAATGAACAAGGGTGAAATATTCTAGGGGCAGATATGATACTTAGAAAGACTTGTGTATTGTGTAAGAAAAACTATGATGTGAGAACTGCTGGTCCAGACAGGTTACTTTTGAGGTGTATGACCTGCTAATTGTCTATTGTGTACAAGTCATTCATTGACATAATATAAAATGCTTTCCAGTGTGCATATAAGCTTATTTCACATCTGAGAGAGCAGTTCCTTGTATTACAAGGATACCCACGAGGTTGTGTTTTCAAGAATATGTCAGTTGGTGTAATTCAATATTCTCTATGGTATTTCGTGCTTTTTGTCTCCTAAATCCCACAGTTTTAAATCTGACAATAGACATTGATTATATAGTTCCCATTGAAAGAGGCTTGGTTAGGAGAGACCAGTTTTACAGGCATAAGTGGTAATGAGAGATTTTTAGCAGAGAGATCAGCACAAAGAGATGGCATTGAATATTCTGCAAATACAGTGTGTAGTTGACATCAGAATGCATGACATGAGGTGCTCTTATGCCAGAATTGCTGCTTCTTTGGTTGCCTACAATTAAGTCTAGGAACAAATATTTACTGAGGCAAACAACTTTCACGTGGAACTTTTATGTGTTGGTGTTCCTTGTTGCACAGCAACAGGCACTGTGTCCCCCTGCATCAGAGAAGAAATATCCAGGATTTAATTATAATATCCTAGGCAGAAGCACTAAGAAATGGCATGCCATTTCATACTGATTTTATTCATACCAGAATACATAGTCCTGTCTTTACATATTAATAATGATATATAGGGGTATATTTTGGTAGCAGCAGGCACTTGATAATATTAGTGCTGAAACAAAAAATTACAATAAATTTACATGCAGGAATGCATGCTAGATCTCCAATGAAATATTGCAATTTTAAAGGTATGAAAATTTTGGGCTTCAGATAGTAGTTTCTATTCACTTTTATTATTATTATTATTTTAAGTGCTTCAAGCATAGGTAATATGTGGAGCATGTGGGTGGGGATAATATAACCAGATCATAACAAAAGAGATTTTTACCTGTGAAACACTTTAAGGGAAAAGAAAGATAAACACTGAAGTGCTCTTTCTTTAGCTGTGTTTCTGGTTTACAGCACAGGTTTTTATAGAAAAAGAACTGCAGAACCTTAGTGAAAGACTTCACTTTGGACCTCATTAGTAGCATTATGTGAAATTTGGATTTATATGCTGTAATTTCCTTTTTTCTTTCTTTTTTGTGATCCAGGCTTCCACACTGTTAAGAGCATCTTTAGCCTCTATGTAAGTATTTGTTGCTGAGCTTCATTTCTGTCTGTAGAGAAGAGGAGGGGTTTGTAAACTGAAGTACACACTGCCAGTTGTCTGCTAATGGGACTCACTCCTCCTCTGTGCTTCTTCTGATCTCAGTGAACATTGATGCAAATGTTGTGTGATCTGTGTTCTTCTGCTGAGCACCTTCAGTAACGTTCTAATTTCAACAGAATATTGTAAATCCAGTAAATCTGCCATTCCACACCTCTGAGGTTTGCTGTGTTTTTAGTATTTCCACATATTTCAGTGCTGTTGTTGTAATTGGTTTGATTCTCACAAATCCAGAAAAAGGAGGAATCACTAATATGGATTTTTAGGTGTGTTAACGTTAACGTTTTTGTGCCTGACTTAATAAATTTTGACATAATTTTGAATAGAGATGGTATATTCAAGGGGAAGTTTTATTAAATTTTTGAGACACTGTTTTTACGAGATAATGGGGCAGTTACGCATAGGACATAAAATTTGTTTTGAAAAGTGGTAGGATGGGAAGATATTAAAACATTTTAATGAATTATATTTAAAAATTAAGATTAAAAGATTGACTGGAAGCAGTTTTCTTAAGGGAAACTTCTATTGCAGTGTTAAGTTTCAAAATAGCAAGATAGTATTGATGCATAGAAAGTAGTCCTGTATTAAGTCTCATGTTAAGCCAGCATACTCCAGCCTGTAAAAATCCATTCAGCTCATACCACCTTTGCCTTGGAGAAGACATTTCTGTGTGCATGAGGGCTCGGAGGTGGAGTTGGAGCTGCAGGTTTTTACTGCATCTGTTTCTAACTGCGTTGAAAGAAAAAAAAAGAGAGCCTGAGCTGGTGCCCTTGTGGTCCAGTAGGGAAGGGAAAAGAGGATGTTACTGTATAGTTTTGTGACAGCAAAAATCTCAGGTCGCCAACTGGCTGGTTGTCAGTTTACTGTATGCAAATTATGATGGTAAGCAAGCTGCATGCATAATCAATAAATAACCCCAAATTTAACAAGTCTGTTGTTCTAATACTATAATGGTAATAAAAGTGTGAAAATGTGGAAGTTCTTTTCCTGAAGCAGACTTACTGTTTTGGCTCTTCTCACCTCAGTAACATCAGCTGCACTGAACGAGGAGAGAGAGTTTTGATGAATGTCTTTTCCGTTTGCATTTAGAAAGTTACAGGATGTGCCATTGCTGCCCTCTTTGGATTATGAGAAGCTGAAGAAAGATTTGATCACAGGGAGTGATCGTCTCAAGGCCCTGTTACTGCAGGCTCTGCGCTGGGTAAGGACAGGGGAGCTTCTGGAGGCATCCAGAGCTAAGATCCGTTTTGCAAACAAGGTTGTTCTGGTGATGAGTTCAGCTTCCCTCTTGGTGGAGCTTGCTAAGGCTGTTGAGATGATGAAGGCAGCCCAGGCAGGAGGTGTCTATTTGTAGTGTAACCTTCTCCTCTGAGGAGAGATATTCCTCACATGAGGAATTGCCAGATTTCTGAGGTATTCAGTGGGAATAATTTCTGATGTGTTTTCAAATAAATTGTTTTAGGCAGTTCCTTTTTCCATGTATCCTTTTGGTTTACATTTATATAGATACTGTTGTATCCAAGACATGCCTTACTCTAATCACCAGTTTTCCTTTATACTCAAAGTATTTTACAGGAACTTACCTTTTGGTTGAATTGGGTTGAATAGTAATGACATATCAGAAAAATTACAGGTGACAACAGGAAGTTACATTTTCCTGCTGGAAAGGAAGCTTATGTGTTCAAAGTGACAGTCATGAAAAATTATAATAGTGGAATTCTGATGAAGTTTCAGAAACAGTGTTTGTTCTGACCAGTCATGCTTCTAGCCCAGTGCTCTGTCTTAGATGTTTAAGAAAAGCACCACATCTGTAACTATTAGAGGGGCTTTTTCAACTTTATGGGAAGCAATTCTGTATCCTTCCTGTATGGACAATGATGACAGCTCCCAGGTAACACTTTTGTAATGGATCACAGGCCTGAGGTCAGGTCAGTTAATTTCATCTCTTTCCCTTAGGTCACTGAGGTTGAATTACTGCTCCCCATGAAAGAGGTTTCTCAGCTACAGAGTGTTAGCAACTTTAAAATCTCCAGGGGTCATCAATCCATAGTTTTGGCTTTTTGTGGGTTTTTTTACTTGTGTTGTTATTTATTTTAGCGCTTGACAACATCATATCCTGGAGAACAGAGAGACACTATCATGCAAGCCTACATCAGCAATGACCTCCTAGACTGCCACAGCAACTGTCAGGTCAGCTGAAACTGAGAGTTGTCACTTGTCCAACTTCTGTGTGATAGTGCTCATTTGTGTCTATGAAGTGATGATCATAAAATTTTATTGCTCTCTGGAAGGGGAGAAGAAAAAAAAAAGGTAGTAGTGCCAAAATCAGGTGATACATTTAGCTTCTGCATCCTGGTCTTTAAATGTTGATGGCAAAGCTTTGCATTACAAGAGCCTTTGGTGTAGACACAGTTCTTGCAGCCAAATGGAAGTTTATTACCTCTCTGTGCTTGAAGCCTGAGGTCCTTTAAGTGTTGCTTATCAGATCCTGTGTCTCTTTCTGAGTGATTGTGCATTGTTAAATAATGCACTCAATTAATTTCACTGATCTAAGATAAGAATTTAATTAGGACTTCAGTCCCAGTGCCACTATGGAATGTTATTGTGCACCTGCAATAGCGTGGTCAACGTGTTTCTGTGAATTTGAGGTGGATTGGCACCTTTCTTTGGAAAGGGGAATTGCTGGTGTCTTGATTTTGAAAAGGTGTTTCAGTCCCTGATAACCAGAACTTGTTGGCAAGAAAAGCACAACTTTCTTCATTGGTTGTAGTGACTTTTGTGCATAGTTGAGTTCCCCAGGGATTTGAGGCACTGAGCCTACTTGGTTTATTGTGGCTTCATTGCCTTTGCAGCAGTCACTTGTACCACTAGGAAAGGTAAAGGATTATTAAATCAACCATCAGTTTTTCTCCCTCTGAATTTCTGTAAGAGGGAAGTTATATGTTAAGCCTGAAATAAAACAGGTGGTGGTGTTGGTAAGTTACTTGAGCTGCTTCCCATGCTCTTCATTGTCAAAGAAAAGCATTCATATTCAGGTAATATTACTGTACTTAAGTTCTTTGGTTTGTGGGGATTTTTTTGTCACTGACCGAATATTAATTTTAGGTACCAGCTTTAACTGGACTGTATTGGCTCATTATAACTTCTACTCTACACCATAGAATTTAACAGTGTTTTAACAGACTCAGCTGAGAAGCTGTAATTTGCCTATTTGTTAATTTTCCATCTCTGCTTCAGCCCCCTGCCAATAAAAAAAGATATTGTAAGTAAAAAAGATATTGTTCAAAGAGTTTTTTTTTTCTATGTAAGTTCAATGAAGCTTTTAAAACATTATAGAAGACTAACTTTTGTGTTTTCCTTCTTTGTGGTTTATTAACATTTGCTTTGTTTTTCAGAGAAGTGTCCTCCAATTATTATATTCTAAGAGTGAGGTAGTCAGACAGTATATGGCAAGGCTCATCAATGCTTTTGCTTCACTGATAGAAGGTAAAAGATTGACTGCAAAAAATAAGATAGCATTTTCATATAATGCTGTCTTATTGGTGCTTCACAAGTGCATGTCAGTGCATGTGGAAATTTAGAGCCTTATTTGCACCCTTTTTCTAGGGATTCACTATCTTTTGTTACCTGCATTCAAAACAGCTTTTCAGTATCTGAAAAGTTTTCATTTTGGCACTGAATATTCAGTATTTCTGACTTGTTTTGATTTGTGATTCGTGTTGGAACTTACTCAGGTACTGCTTTTAATATAGTCTTCAGTCTCTCCATGAGGGTTAAAGAGAAAAATCCCCATTTATTAGGGGTCCTGTGGGCAGACCTGCTGCCAGGTATACAAGAGTAACTACTGTGGCTCCTGCATGTTTCTGGTCCTCACCTGAATAAATCTTTGTGCATCACTGCTAACAATCCAGATGCATATGTATCCAGCTTTGTATCTCTGCCTATCCCAAAGTGGCTCTTGCTTTCCTGCTATTTTTGGAGCTAAGTATTGCTAGGCACTGAAATCTTATTTGAAGTCACTAGCAGGAGGGCACCTGGCTTTCCCAAGCTCCTTGGATATTTCTGTTCTTCTCGATTATATAAAACTGATAGATCAGAAAGCATATACTCAAAGTGGATTCTGTGTGGTACTGATTTAGTAAATGTGGACCTCTAATACCCCAAGTGTCTGGATTGAATGCCACTGGTCTGCAACACAACTTTGTGCAGGTCTGTTTGAATCTTGGCACAAGATTGTGGCTTGTCAAGAGGAAACTGAGGTCAATCCTGCTTACTTTCCAAAGAGAAGGAGATTTTCTGTCATAGCTAAAATCTCAGCATCTGTTCTTTCATCACTTTTTGCACCAGGTCGTGCCTACCTTTCTCAGAGCCCAACATTGCTGCAAATGCTGGAGGACAGACTGAAAGCTGAAGACAAGGATTCCCTTACATGGGAGAATGTTCTGGGGGCTCTGCAGAAATTCAGCCTCAGGTGATGAAAGCACAGCGTGTGGTGGTGACAGCAGGAGAGGAAATGCAGGCTAGTTAGGCTCTGTTCGGGGAGGAAAGAAGAGCACTTGATTTTCCCATAACAATCATCAGAACCCCTGGTGGCTGATGAAAGCAATGTCACTTATTATGGAGGAGAACTCAGTTTTGCTGACTGAATTAACCTGACTTCCTAGCAGCTCTCAAGGCTCAAGTAAATGTACATCTCCTGCCACAGCCTTGTGTACTTCCTTAACTGAAGAAAGCGAAAATCCTAACTTAGAAAGCTCTGACGATCCTAAGTGGAAAAAAAGAGTTGTGTTACATTCCAAAGCATAAGGTTTTCATTTTCCTTTCTGCAAACATTTTTCAGGAATTTCATCTTTATCCTGTTGACCCTCTTTCATGAAACTGTCTATGCATGGACTGATGTGTTTCTTACTTCTGCATTAGCAATCTGAGTCAAATGCCCAGCACAAAAGAAATATGCAAAAGCAGGAAAGAGCATGCTCTATGTATCAAATAAATATGATCTTAGGAACTCTGTTTTCACAGCAGTCAGGAGGAATACTGAAAATTTGGTAGTTTTTTATTTTCTGAAAACTAACAATCTTATATAAGGTTAATTCCACATACTTGACACAAAGGAAACTTTTTAATATGTGGTCAGATGCTCTCTTGTTTTACTTAGTCCATGCCATAGACCTGCTGCAATATCCAGCACTAAGAAACATATGAGCTTTCAGGACCAAAGCCAGGAAAGCACCTGCTTTGATCTTTGCAATTTAAATATAATGCTTCTTGGAAATAATGTTATTAAAAATGCTGGTTTTCAGTAAGAGTTTTCTACCAGTATATACTTCTTTTTCTGTATTGTCAAATGTGGAATTTCTATTGTAGATCATAGTTGGCCACGTGGCATTTTATTTATCATAGTCTTTGAGGGCAACTAAAAGTTGACTTAAAAGAGCCTGAGATTAAAGAATTTCTAGAGAAAAGTGCAAATAGATTCAAGCAAAAAAACTCATTTGTCAAATCAACAGTACAAAACTGCTACAGTGCTATGGCTACCTATGACAGAAGAAGTAATTAATTTGTTTTATGGTGTGTAGCTGGCTTTTAAAACCAATTTTAAAAGACAATTGAAAATGCCATTTTAGCTGGAGTAAGAAGCCTTAGAAAACAATGAAGAAACTTACATCAGCAGTTCACAGGTTTAAAAAGAAGAAAATAAAACAAAAGACAAAACCCCCCGATCTATCCAACAACGTTTTAGTCCTCTAACCATATGGGAATCTGCATCTTCAATTTCTTCTGGCTTTATTAATTACTTAGTTTAGTGATTCTGCCAAAATTAATAGTTTAGGGAATTTTTTTGTGTGTGTGTTTGTACCAGCTGTAAATGTATTTGAAAGCTATTTATGTTGTAATCTAACATTTATGATTTGTGATCTGATTTGGTTTTTAATCCTAGGCGTGCACTGCAGTCAGCAATGATCAAAGATGGGCTGATTTTCTGGCTGGTTGATGTTCTAATAGACCCAGATTGCCTGTCTGATTACAACCTGGAGTATTGTGCTGCCTTGCTCATGAATCTTTGTCTGCGGAGTGCAGGTGTCTTATATTTTGAATTACAACCTTATTCCAAGAAATAGGGAGGATTGTGTATTTTTTTTTTCCTGTTTTACCAGGATTCTTTCAAGTGACTACAATAAGCAGCAGGGACCAGAACCGGAGATATTTGAGTGTTATAACCAATGCTTTTGAGCACATCTTTTTTCCCAAGAATTCTAATTATGGGAAGTTACCTTCACGAAATTTTAAAGAATTAAGCAAAGAAATAAGCAATGTCATCCTCTAAGATTTGATTATTTTTCACATTAGTATGTGAAGGCTGCCATTCCTACATTCCAGGCATACTTTTCAAAGGACACTTTTTGTCCACTTACAGACTCTGTGTAAGAGATTTCTTGGTAAACAGAAAGAACTGGGTTGAAGAGTAATGGTGAGGAGCTTAAGCTTCACCTTGCCTTCACTTCTACAATGCAGAGATTCCCCTCAAGAAAATAAGATCCTGTCTGTGTCCAAGAGACTTAAAAAGAGCTTAAATTAAATTTCCTTTTAAAAAGGAGAGTAAGGTAATGGTGAAAATCGTCTGCTTCTTGTAAGCAAAAAAAATGCCTTTGCTAAACTTTTTAATCCCCTTTGTGTTGCATCCTGTCCAAGACTTCAACTGCATCAATCCAGAGTGACTTCACTGATTTCAACTCAGTTATGCTGAGCAGCGTTTGTCAGGAACAGGAAACAGTATTTCTCTGTGCAAACTATATTTAATAGTGATTCTAAAAAGTAAGAAAGAAACTTGCTCTGATCTGTTCTATTTTTCAAGCATATTTATGTGTTCTGCCTTTGCAGGGAAGAAAATATGTGCAAGTATCCCAAACCACATGCTCAGAGTTCTTTCTGGTCTTCTTGACCATGAGAATCCTAAGGTAATTGTACAGCAAACTTTGGGTTAATGAAAAGGTAGAAAGAAAAGTTTAAAAAATAAGAAAGGAAAAAATGTAAAATGTAAATTGGTTTTGTTTCCTTTATTAGACCCCCATATAATTAAGTTGCATGAATTTTTCCTAAACTTCACTAATGTGTAAATTTTATTTCATTGAGCAGAGGTTTTTCTAGACAGAAGCATGTCTTGCTTTGACAAATGTTGGCAGCTAAGAATGGAAGCTTTTGGTTGCAGTTACCATGCAGTCCATGTGCCTTGATTGCATTTTCTGATGTTGCTTAAATGTTGTGCACCAAATCACCTCAAGCTTAACTCATTCGTGAGATGAACAAAGTGTGATGCAAAGTTATTATGCAAAATATCAGGTGCAAGGGAACAGATTTGCTGTAGTTTTAAGGAATTCTATAAGAAAGTAGTAGATTTGTGACATTCAAGCCCTAATATCTTTTTATCTTCCACTTCATTTGACCCGTCACTTTAACCTTTTGTGATTCCTTTCTTTTCTGTCTCAGGGCACACTTGCAACTTAGATACTTAGAAAGTGCTACCATGTTGTTGAAGTCTGTGCTTTAGAATTACTTTGAAACTTCTCTCAGAGTGTGCATTCTTACAATGTGCTTTGCACTTACTGTAGCAGAAATTTTATTATTGAAAAGTAGATAAATTTTTATTATCAAAAGTAGAATACAGTGCTCTTAGGTGTGAGGAGAGCTTCCTGAGAAGCTGTGGAATTCTTATGTAAATCCCAGTCCCTTACCTTCCCTGATTCCCCTGCTCACAGGCCTGCTCACTGTTCACTTTTCCAATGGTACAGACAGAGGATGACTGGAAATGTTAGTGCTTCAGAAGTAACTGGCCATTAGAAAGGCTCACATAAGTGCTGGTAAGACAAGTTTGACAGATCTGGTGGCTTTCAATAGCCATAATTCAGAGCTTTTGTGCTGGCAGGTTTTTTGCCTCTCCCGAGGGACAGTAAGAGGCAGCAGAGTGAGAGGATGTTTGAAGTTCTTTTGGCTTTATCATCCTGCCTAAGGCTACAATGCTTGAAGCCTGTCTTGAGTTCTTGCTGGCAGAGTCTTTTCCTTGTTCTTTGTCCTGTTTTTTGTACTGCCATTAGTGTTTGTCAGAAACTAACCTTCTTTTTCTGTTTTTCTCTTTTCCTTTTTTTTTCTCTTATGGCTGAGTCAATTTGCAAGAATACATTATCAGAAGCAGGGGGGTCTTTGGGAAATTGGCATGCAGCATACTGGTTTAAATCAACTATATCACAATATATTTGCATCCTAAAAGTTCTCTACTTCCCACGTGGGAATTTTTGCAAGTCTAGTCTAGCCTGGTTAAACTCTTTGAAGTATAGTTATCCTACATTTTCACTCTTGTATTTTGCTGATAGTCAACTGGCATGAATGTAAGAGCTTTTCTTCATGGTATTTCTATTTCTTCTTCTTAGATCCAGTCATATGTGAATGGAGCACTGTACAGTATTCTGGCCATCCCTTCTGTCCGAGAAGAAGCCAAAGAAATGGTAAGAAGTGCTGCTTTGCATAGCCTGAAAATTAACACCTCTACCAGAGATGGCCAGACAGGGACCTGCTGAGCAGGGCACAGCAGGGCTGTGAGGTGGGAGCCAGGACATTTTAAGCAGGGAACCCACAAGAGGCCCTTCTCCTTTCATCCTCAGGGAAGCAAGAATGTATGTCTCAAACACTTCTGCCATACCTTCAGGTCTTTCTCCCAGGAGTGGAGCCCCAGCACTGTGAAGGATTCTGTCTGAATTATAAATTAAAGGTCTTTAGAATTGTGTGTCCTTCTAGCATTTTGTAGACTCCTTGTGGCCCAGAAGATGCTTTCATCTGACCTGCTACTTCTTCCCCTTATGTAGCTCATCCTTCACCAGTTAGGAGCCACTAAAAGGTGGCTTCCTGCTGCTTTTCCTTCTGCCTGGGATAGACATGGTTATTTGGGTAAGGAGGAAGGTTTCAGAACTAGGAACTGATTTCCTGTGAAAGTTAGTCTAATGGTAATGACTGCGTTTCAACTTCTGTGTTTGAGGAAGCTGCTCCTGGGATACCAGCATGTCTTTGTATCTTAGCGACTAACCAGAGAGTTATGGAGACATAAGTGTTGTCAGATGTTCTACCTCACAGAGCACAGAGGACTGAAAGTGATCTTAAATGCTTAATGACACAACATCAAGGCTATAAGGAACCATAGAGACCAAGTTTAAAGTCAAAGCTGGTTCTACTTTTTGCTTTCCTTCTCTGAACCTTGCACTGTTGTCTCTGTGGATGCCAATTTTATCCTGTTCTGATGACTATTGTGTACTGAATTCAGAAGGCAAAAGCAACAGATCTATTGTAAAAATTTGCTGTTCATCATGGACATGTCTCTGTTTAAGCCTCGAAGCAATCTAGAGTGTATTTCTTTTGTCTATGCAACACTTGGAGCTAGACACCACGATTTGCTTCACACTGCCACTGTGGTCACATGAAATACTGATCTAACAATGTTTTCTGCTACAATCAGGGAATGGAAGAAATTCTGCGCTGCTTTATCAAGGAAAGAAATGAGGAGATGGTTCGACAGATTGAATTTGTTATCAAGCAACTCAATTCAGGTCAGAACACTTGCAGCTATCAGAGCTTTAAATCTCTCACAAAAGCCATAAAAAAGCTCATGTTTTTACTTGGCATTGAAACCCTCAAAGAATAAGAATAGTGTGATGGTCTGAGAGAGGGTGAATAGTGAATGTCAAGATTTGAAAGTCATGTATTTTAAAATTTCCTTTATGTTGTAGTAATAAAGAAGAAATAAAAGGCTGAGTAAGACACAATTCCAAAGTTTTGAGACTGTAAATAAAATGACCTTGGCTGTTTTCTTTCATGCCAGTGGTCTGATGGTAATGAGAGACTGCTGCCAACTACAAAAATGCAGTAGAAATTTGTAAAACAGGATTTACAGACTAGGTCTGTCTGTGCTCTTCTCTTGCTCTATTGAGGTGTAGCTTTATGTGAAATGGCTTGTCCTGAATAGGGAGCAGAGACTGTCCTTTTTGGAGAGTATGTTCATGGGTTATAGGAGTTGTAGATGCTGTTAATAAACTGAGAAGGTGGAATATTTATTCCATTTTCTGTTGCCTGTGACTGAAAGGAAGATTGAAGAAAGAGAAAGCAAATAATGAAAGGGAGATTAATTCTGGTTGCATCTTTATCTGACAGTAAACATAGAACAAGTTCAGCTGTTTTCTTTGGCTTTTGGAAAGAGAACACAGCCTGTCTTAGAATTCTAGCTTGTAAAAAAACAAATAAAGTATTTAAGCACTGTATTGCCATTATACAATATTTGTTCTTCAAGGCTATAGAACCTTGAAGAACACTCCTCTTCTACCTGGAAATGGTATTTTTAAGAGCTTTTGCGTGAGTCATTGATGAGTACAAGTTGTGCTTTCAGATTTCCAGCATATGCCTGGCCATTTTTTTCCTGAGGAAATAATTTTGTCCAGAAGTTAAAATAAGTATTCTGCATGAGTACTAACTTTTTATGTACAATAGCACTATACTATTAAATATTTGTAGGGAGAAATAGAGTCTCTTATTGAAAAATAGACAAACTTGCAGGTGCACATGCTTTCATTCAAGTCTTGTCATTAAATACAGTGAGACATCACCATGGATTTAGAAAGTAACTATTCCAAAGTGTTTCTATGTCTGCCATTTTCCAAAATATAAAATGATTTCAGTGATTTCTAGAATGCTTATAGGATCAAGTTATTCCAATAGTTGTCCTGAAAAAGACTTGTCTGTATGAGAAGCAGGTTAAATCATAAAAGTGAGGTAATAATGAGATTCTGTTGAGTTGTACATGTTCAATTTAACTCACACTCTTTTGTTTTGCTTCTTTCTAGAAGAGCCATTCAATGATAGTATTGTATCTGATGATGATGAGGAAGAGGAGTATGAGGAAGTAAGTAAAGGCTTTCTGACACCTTTTAGAAAAATCCTTAACCTTCTAGAAAGAAAATATTTGTGTCAATAAACCAGACTTTGCTTTTCTGGTGGGTTTTCCTTTTGGTTTTTATGTTTACTTAATTATTCTTGTATTAACAAGAAAATTGGATCTGTTTCCATTACCTTTTCTTCATTTGAAGCCCTACTCTTTTATTTTGGCAATTTACCACCTCTGTGATAATTAAAGAATTTTAGCTTGACATAAGTGAAGAGATAAGGAGTCACTGTAGCAGTAGAAATCTTGCTTTCAAGCAGACCTATTGGATACAGTTAAAAAAATAGAAGTATGTTACCAGAATAATTTATAAACAGGTTATCACTTTTTCTTAAGGTATCATTATCTATTCAATGTGTGACTTAATTTGCTGTTTGAAAACTTTGAAATATAATTAGTAAATTGCTGGAATGTAAGAAAAGGAAACAGTTATTACAAATAAGGAATAAGTCCCATGAGAAAATAAAATAAAATAAAATAAGCATGAGAAACTATATCACAGTGAATAAAAACTGATTAGCTCTGTATTTCCTTCTCCACTAATAAATGTGTTCTATACCATTTCAACATTTTTTGAGAAACTGTCTTCATAGAGCCATGGGTGTAGACAACATAACATACTGGATCACCTAAATTAACAATCAAAGCAAAATGTAAATCATGTGAGAGAAATGTTACACCCAGTCTTCACTGGTGGTGTTGCCTTTTCTCTATTGCCATAAGTGCACAGTGGAGGCTTGAAAATAGTGTCAGCAGTTATGTGGGAGTTTTATCTTAAGGAAATCTCCACTGCATTTTTATTTTATCGAGAAGTCTTGCTTGAGAAATTTAAAAGAACAGGTATGGTAGATGTCCTGGAAGCAGTATTTGTGCATACTTAGGTGTGTGTATGTGTGCACATACATTCACAGCCTGTGCTTTGCCCTGAAGAAGTCAGTGACATGGAGAGTGAGTGAACTGCAAAATGTTCTTGTATTAGGAGTGTTACTGCAGAACAGATTAACTGAAAACCATGCTTTTCAACAAAATATAAGCTTTTTGTCCTGTACCAACAAAGAATAAGACAGATAAAACTTAGTCAGTTGTGTCCACGTTGTAGTAGCTCATTGTACATTAATGGGAATGACAGTGACTGGGGGAAACCAAATCTAAAATTTGTCCTGTTACTGCAGCGTGACAGAATGCATTTTCTAGTGCATGTTGACCTTTTTCTGTTTTGAGAGCAGATAAAAATGCAAATATCCTGACTGTAACAGGTGTGGGGTGCTCTCAGCTGCTGTGGGGTGCAGCACCATGCAGGATCCAGCATGGCAGTGTCCAGGGAAGCCTTGCACTGGTTGCGTTATTTATCCAGTTTTTGTGTTGTGTATAGCTTTTGTATTGTGGCACAATAGGTGGTGAGCTAATAATCCCTTTGCCTAAAGTTAGAGCTATGTGGAAATTCTAAGTTTAGAGCTACAAAGAAGTTTTATTGAACAATCAGCTCTCCCCTTTTTATTCTAAGGGAACACAGTAATTTTTTTTTTTCTTATAGGATTAGATTATTGTAGTTGTTTCACCTCCTGCAGTCCTGAGTCAGTTTTTTAAAATCTTTCCACTTCTCCAACCGAAAATCAATGCTGTGGTGCAAGATGGGCTTCCTAGAGATTAATCATTAAAACTTCCCTTTGCTTAAAATGCTGCTTAACACCTTTTAACTGATACTTCAAGGCTTTGAGTATCTTGAGTGTATGATGATAATACCTTTGGTTGAACTTTTTAATACTTTTTTTAAAGGATACTGTGTTTTGTTGTGAAAACATATAGATAAGGAACTCCTTCCTGAAAGGTGTGGCATTGAATTTCATGATGATGTTGAACACTTCCATCACTTTACCTGTTCCTGGGAATGAAAGGAAGGTGAATTCCGCTTTTCAGTCCTACCCCCTAGATGATCCCCCCTGTTTACAATCCCAGCAAAGGCTCTAGGTCAAATCCTTTTGAAATGTATTGTTGCCACTGGACCATCAAGTGATTAAAAATAACTTCTGGCATTTCTTATTTTTTTACTCAAAATATAACAGTAGGCTTTTGAAACAGACAGATGTCCAACTCCAGTTTTTTCATTAGCTTCGCCATTATATTAAAAAGAAAAGCCAAGTTTGAAACTGTTTTTAGTGTAACATTAATTGCAACACATTTTGAATCCTTGTTGCTGCTGGGAACTATAATTCTGTTCTGCTACAGGGACATCTGGTTTCTTAATCCCTCAGTTTAGAAAATATAGTTTACACATATCATGGCAGTGATGCATAATGTTGTTACTTTGTTAAATAAACAAAGATTTGTTGACTCACTACCTCAATGCTTGGAACTCTTTTGTATTTTGGAATTGCAGTGAGTTATTGTTCTCAATGGTGTTCTGTGATAACATCTGATAATGTGATCTGGCAACAGAAAGTTTTGGAAAATTTTATCAAAAGTCTTGCTTTTACGTAACTTAAACTACTACAGACTGAATGCATTTCAGGATATGTCCAGATTTTGCCAATTTAGTGACATGCTTTCAGACTGCTTACTGATGTTAGAATTTGTAGCTCAATGCCTTTATTTATACATTTACAACTTTAAAAACAACAAAAAGACTCTCATGGACCCTTAATTTGCAGGTTTTGCTCCAGCTTTAATTGTTTACAAGAGCATGCAAATGTTCCCAGTGCTGTCACTATTACCTTTCATGGGGTTTTTTTGCTTTTATCTGTATTTAATTTAGAGTTGATGAATTCTCTCCTGGCTTTGAGCAGATCTTGTGGTAATGACTACTTTCTCCTAAACACTGTGGCCAAGACACAGAGCCTGTTAGAGGAAAATTCTGGGATTTCTAAGGGCATCATACGTTCAGAAATTTAAGATTCTGTATTGTGTGACACTGGAGCATATAACCGTATAAAAAAATCTCAGTGTGTGTGCTGCTATTCAGAAATAAATTGGCTTTTGTGTTTGTCTGTTAAGCTTTAAATTAACTATTGTAGAACTTAGGATATACTAGCTCCTGGAGTACATACCCAGCCTTGAGATGTCAGCCTTCTGGGGTGTGTTGACACCCACAGTCACAGTGTGTGTTTCCTGGTGCCCAATATTCTCTTAACTAGTCTGTTAAATTCTAACTTAATCTATCTTCAGTATTTGATCTTTGTGTTCACTTTTTATTTGACTTGGACCATCTTGAAAAGCTGCTTGTAGAAGTGAATATGTGCTATGGTAGCTCTGATTCAAAAGTTTAGTTACAAGCTGGAGCTGTGTGAGGTGACTGTACAGTGACAATTTATCAGACACCCTCTGATCCGCTGTCACTCAGCACCTGGCAATAAAATCAGGGAGCTGCCGTGTGAAAAATACACTTCAGCCACAGGGTACATCAAAAGAAAGAGCTTAATCACAGGGCTTCAAGCCATTACATTAACAGGCATTGCTGCCAACATCTGCTGCAGCCTGTGAGAGTGGGGAACAGGGCACTAATTGTGTTACTTCAGCAGTGGAGTGATGGCACATCGGGCAAAGTCCTTATTTTGTAAAAGGAGGCAGAGGGGGGAATTTTCAGGCTCGGTTACCTGGTAGGTTAAATAATGTCAGGAGTGGGATTGGCTGCGTGAACAAACCATGTAAAGAAAAATGCCCCCAGACCTATTTTTAGAGCTTATCTTTGCAACTTCACCCCCTCTCCTCCCACAATAAAAATACAGTATATTGTGGACTTTGGAGTGTGGTTTCTTGGTGAGGGGCAGGGGATGATTTTTCCTTAATACAGATGATTGTTGCCTAGTCTACAAGTGTTTATCCTTTTGTCATCATCTGGTTTATTTTTCACACATGCCCAGCTTTCCAGGTAATTAAGAGCTAATTGTGACTATTTAAAACTGAGTCTAAATCTCTCTAAAGGTAAACTGCTTTTCATTTTCATTGTGCTCTGGAGTTCATCAGAGTCCAGTGGCCATTGTTTTTAATGGAGTTTATGCCAGACTCTCTTTTTAGCATGATTCCTTTACTTCTTCTCATTTACTGTGTTTGACAGTCATTTACATTTACTGCTACAACAGGTTTCAAAAGCAAAGGACATTTTCTTCATCTAGAGTAGGTCTATCTTAGGATATCTTGTGCAGGACAGAAGAGAATTCTTTATAGTAGCAAAATACAAGCAAAAATACTTGTTCTTTTTCTTGTACTTTTACTACTGGTTTTGGTTTGCTGGAGGAGTCCCTCAAACTTCAAAATTTCCTGGCTTTTTTGATCTGTAGAAGCTGCAGAGCTTCCATGAAAGATGAATCACCCATAGTTATTCTAGAAATAGGAACAGGAGAGTAAATTCTTGGTAGTTTTTATTTGAAGTTGATTACATTTGGGTTTGTGGAATAAAATCAAACGAGGACTGTTGCCTTGTCATATGATGTTTTTATCCTGAAATACTGATTGAAGCTTTTTGTACCAGCCTCTTATTACCAGCTTTAAAGCTTCCTTGCACACCTGAGTTTCTTGTTGCCTTGCAGGAGGACAGTGACATCCTGGAGCCTGATCTGGACAAAGATGAGGTTTTGCTGCCTCAGATGGGAGAGCTTTCAGGAGAGAAGCTGCTAACAACTGAGTACTTGGGAGTGAGTACCACTCCTTAGAATCTTGAAATAAATTAATTTCCTGTGTTTAGTGTTTTATTTCAGTAGTTTCACCGCTTTCTTCAGTTTGTTGCTTGAAGAGGCAGGTGCTACCTGCAGAGCAGTCTGAATCTTTCAGAGTCTGTGTATGTGCCGCTGCTCAGGAGAAGCAGAACCCGTGTGAGAAAGGAGCTACCCTTTCACAGGGGGTGGTCAGGCTGTGGCTTAATAATAAGCTACAGGCAGCCTTAGGGTTCTAGTGCTACACCAGTGACTCTATGAGCACACAAAGCAAAGTGCTGAGCAGGTTAATACTGGAACATTCTGCTGGTCTGAAATTATTTTAGAAAAAAAGGAAGGTTGAAAAGTCAACTGCTCCTGCAGGCGTTGTGCCGGATCAAGTATTGTCTGCCTTACTTCAAGCAGCAAAAAGCTATTAAGTAAAAAAGCATAAAGTTTGTATGAATGCCATTTATTGTGCTGTGACTAATTCGAGATATTCAGAGGGCTGGAGCACCTCTCCTGTGAAAACAGGCTTAGAGAGTGGCATTATTCAGCCTGGAGAAGAGAAGGCTCCAGGGAGACCTTATTGTGGGCTTTCAGTCCTAAAAGGGCCTACAAGAAAGCTGGAGAGGAGCTTTTTCACAAGAGCATGTAGTGATAGGACAAGGGGGAATGGCTTCAAACTGAAAGAGAGTAGGTTAGATTAGATATAAAGGAAAAATTCTGCCCTGTGAGGATGGTGAGGCTCTGGCACTGGTTGCCCTGAGAAGCTGTGGCAGCCTCGTCCCTGCAGGTGTTTGAGGCCAGGCTGGATGAGGCTTTGAGCAACCTGATGTGGTGAAAGGTGTCCCTGCCCATGGCAGGGGGCTTAGAACTGGATGGTCTTTATGAACCTTTCCAACCCAACCCATTCTGTTATAAATGCAAGCCTTCTGGATTCGAGAGTCCAGAATCCTGACGATGGAAAAGTGACCTGAGAGAAGATGTCCTGAAAGAGCCTTCAGTGATTCCAGACAGTTTTATCCAGTGACACCAGAATGCAATTTAGTTTCTGCTGCAATGTTTCTATAGAATTTTCTCTATGGTTTCAAATACCTGTTTTTCCACTGCATTTTTTTTCCTTCATTTCCATGTATCAGATAATGACTCACACTCCAAAAATGAAGAAGAAGCAATTTGCTGGTGTCCATCAGAGTATAGATGAGCCTCTCCAGAGACCTGTGACACCAGGTTATCACAGAACTGCATATCTAATGTAAGTCCAAACAAATGAGACCAAGTTGGATTTTTTTAAGCTCTTTTAAAAAGCATAGCAACAACAGAGAAGAAACCCATAACAATGCCTAAATAACTAAACCTTCCCTATCTAAAACTGCATTGCCATTGTCATTCATTACGGAGAATTTAAAAAAAATGAGTGGAACATTGCAGGCAGGGAAAGGTTCATTGGCTGAGGTCACGTTCTCAAAATAATTGAATAAATATTTAGTGATGAGGTTGATTTAAATTTGCATTATATCCCACATGTTCTTGCATCTTCGTGTAATATATTCCATTGGAAAATTGCACCAAGCATCTACAATGCTTGAGATCTTCCTCTTCACAAGCAACAAAGTATATTGCTCTGGGGAGGTTTGTTACAAGACAGATGAAAAAGAAAATGGGTAAGGCAAAAATCTTGTTATGTTGGGTTTCCCTGCTTCAGAAGAAATACATTTGCCATCAGAAGTGTGTGTGACACTTTACTCTTGGTGTGATTTGGGTCAGAGTAGAAGGCTTATTGTAAATGGAATAAAGGAGTCTTACCATGTAGAGCTCCTTGAATATTCTCTGCCTTCTGTTAGAACAAGTATATCTTGATTTCTGAGATTTGTCCTGTTCACTGTCCTGACTGAGTAAGTAAAATATCAATGAGATCCCAAATTTAAATGATTTTGTAATTTTCAGTTGCACAGTTTTAGATTTGATCAAGTCCAGGTACCTATGATACAGGCATGTTTATTGTGAGTATTGAATGTTTTTATTTCTGTGGATACTTAATCCGAGAGACTACAAGACTAACAAAGTATGATAATAGTACTCAAGACTCACAAGATTCATATAGGTTAGTATGTTAAAATGAATGAGTAACCTGAAACACAACAATGTAATGAAATTACAGCTGGTTCTTTAAATGCATCAGTCCTGAAGATTGTCCCATGTCATCCCTCTGCCACTCTTTTCTTTCCTGTTCATATTTTCTATTTCTTAAAATACTTTTCCTCCTCATTTCCATGTGGAAAATGGGTACAGAAGACAGTGAGGGCTGATGTGGGCTGTAGTTGCACAGGTGTTGGTGACTCTGAGTGAAGTCTGTTGTTTGAGGCAAGGAGTGGTCATAGCTTTATCTTGCCTCCCACTATCTCATGCTGGAATTAGCATGAAGATAATGGAGTGGAAGCAGCAATTAATTACTATATTAGCTCACAAATAAAATAGTGATTATCTAACAATTTTCATGCCATCCTCCAAAAGAACTGCAGGCCTTAAAAATCTAGACTGGTTAATCTATGCCTAAATATACATTGCCACTTTACTGTGGGGTCAGTATTAGAATTCAAGGTCCTACTTCCCCTGCACAGTATTTTACCCATGTTGGGTTTGGAGACCTGGACTGATTCTGTGGAACTGGCTGTTAGTTTTAAAAGTTGTTAGGGCAGTGTTACAGTCGAGTTTTAAAAGTTACTAGAAATTCCTCTGCCCAAATTAAGGTGCAAACAAGACCATATGCCAAAGTCAATGAGAGAGAGAGAGAAGGAGAATAAGGAAGAGAAGGAAATAGAAAAGAGGTGGGGGTACAGAAAGAGAGTTACAGAGAGAGATTAAAGAAAGTATCACCACTCCATGGATCACATCCTTGGATGTTGATCCTCTCCAGCTCTGCTGTTCTTCGTGGTGAGGGTGCCCTGAGAAGCACAGAATCAATGGATTAATACATGCTCAGGCCAGGTGGGAATGCTCAGGTACCTTCCCTGGGGGGAGCAGTTTGACAAAGTCTCTTGCAGCAGCTCCTGGGTCTGTTGCATCACTTTGAGACACGTGCAATCCTGTGGTGCAAGGCCTTAGGAATGAGTCTGAGGAGTCTTTGATGGATTATGACACCCCCTCAGCTGCCTCCCACATCAGTGTCCCGTGGATGTGGCCTGCGGGGTTGGGGGTTACACAGCTGGGCCAGTCTGTGTAAGGGAGGATGGGTGTCCAGTGCCTCTGACCAGAGATTACACCCCAAACCACCTCCCCCCACTTGTTTTGAGGGGAGTCTGTGCAAACCTGGCCTCTGTGGGCTGTGGTCTCCCTCATCCCAAACACAGCCAGGGATGATTCTGTGCTGCATTTGGCTTTCTTGTGGATGCATTCCTTTCTCAGCCTTATTTGCTTCTCCCTAGATCTGAGATGATTGAACATAATGTCCCCTTTATCTTATCTAGGTGGCTTAACTCACAGTTCAAAGTTCCAGCCAGGCATCTTCAAGGAGGAATGGGCTTCTGTAGCTTCTTTATACAGATTTTGCTGTAGTGGGCAAAACTCCTTCCTAACAATGTTAAAGACATGAACCACTTCAGTCCCTGACAAGCAGCCTTATGGCCTATTTAGAAAGTATATTTTCAGGAATAAATCATCATCATGTGTCTAAGCATTACATTCTTGCTTTATAAGTGGAGAGAAAACCAAGTTTGTGGAAACGAAATTACTTTCTTCTGGGAAGTAAAAAAAATGGTGTCAAACCTGTGAGAGTGGCTTTTATTTCCCACTGTCCTGAACTGCACTGCAATATTTGCATCAGAAAGGATCTCTGGAAGTGATTGCTGCCTCTCTTTAGCACCATCTACCCAGGCAGGGTATTTACTTAAGTGTCCCGGGATTCTGGAGTGACGTGAGTCTTGTATTTTGGCACAACTTGAGTCTTCTCAGTTGTGCAGCTTGTGCCTCTGCAAGGCAGCTTCAGGTCACTGCTGGATACAAATTCAAACCACATTTCCATCATGCTGGTTCTGGTAGCTCTTGTTCTAATAGAAGTGTTAGTTTGATGGTGTGAAGCAGTCTTCACAGATTGCCTCACTATGCAAACTACAGAGGAGAAATGTAAACAGCAGAAATCTAACACTGAAACTACGTGAAAATTGATTTCCCTCCTGCTCTGCTCAAATGGTAGAAATAATATCAGTATTTGGTGCTCCCATGTTTTAAGCAGGAAACAAGCAATACCACCCTGAATGAGAAGTTTGTCCTTTATACCTGATTGGTTTGTGTGCAGGAAACTGCAGTGAGTAGATGAAGACATTCTCGAACTACATTTTGCAGCAGAAAAGGACAAGCTTTGATGGCTTTTATGCTGTTCTAATTTTAGTACTAATTAATTTACTAAAATAAGGGAATACTCGCTTGGAAATTATTGCAGGAGGAAGACAATAAAAGCTTTGCTGCCTTAATTTGAAAGCAATATCTGAACTGGATGTATTTCGTACTTTAAATATTTTAAGTGGCTTTTATCATAAGAAATCTCAGGAAAAACATTAGACCCTTTTGCCCTGGATACAGCTTGTCTACCGGATGCAATTCAGGACAGTTCATCTAAATTATGTGAAATCTCGTATTCAGCTGAGTGGTTAAACTACATTAAAAATTTTTGTAAATGCTTCCATTCTAAATTGAAGTGAATATAACTTGTTTGAAGTTCTTCATGTGAGACTCAATGTAACATATTCCATTTAAAAACAGCATGAAAGAGGAAGCAGTTGATGAGATACTATAAAATGTATCTTTGAGCTGTTGGTTCATACCTCCAAAAGGGGGGGGCAGTGAAGATCTTTACTGCTGAATAGAAGTATTCACACAGAAAATTAATGCAGAAAAGCCACTGCACATGTAGCAGCCATTTCATGCTAATTTTTCTATGACTTTCCAGTGCAGACAAGGCTCTAGTTACTTCAGATGAATTGTCATGGGAACCCTGTATGGACAAGCTCTTGCTGTATGGAGCTGAGCGAGTCAGGAAATACTGGAAAGCTGCCTTCTTTTTCTTTTTTTTCATTTTCCCCTCCTTCTTTAAACACTTGCTGGCTGAGATCACTCAAGGGGGCATGAACTACTTAATATTCTGCTAGCTATTTCCTTAGAAACTGATTTAGCTGTGAAATCATTAACTGCCTCCTTGGACTGCATCCTTTTTACTAGAAATGTAGTTTAGTTACCTTAGCCTGATATTAGGCAGGGAAACTTTCCATGTCTGCCGACGTCTTTTCACACCCCTCTCACTTCTGCTGTGTTTTATTGCTCTACTAGTGAGCAGCTGTGTCCCTGTTCTGTCCTTCAGCTGCTTCAGTTTCCCATTGATCAGCTTCACTTGTGAAATCAAAGTTATATTTGTTGCTTACTTTAAGTCTGTGTTGCATATTGCTCTTTAAAGTGAAATCCTGGTAATATTCAGAAGCAAATCTTAAATCCTTGAAAAAGCGAAGTAGTGAAGACCTCTTGGCGATTTCTACAGTCTATTTCTTTAAGTGTCATGGTGGAATTTTGGGGCTTCAGACTGCAGGGAGTTACAGTTTCCTTTCCTCAACTCTTTTATTACAGTAGGAAAAAAATTTAATTTCAAATACGTCTGATGTCAGCTGGTTTGGGGGAGCTACAGTCAAGCAGTTTAATTACATCCTTACTACTGGTTTGCAATATGAAATATAAAATAATTTCAATGTGTACTATGTCATTACAGGCAATTAAAATAAATTAGAATTTACTCTGATTAAACTTTTTATACTGTAAGCATTCACCTTGCATTCTCCTTTCTCCTTCAGGCCAGAAAACGGTACCAATTCTTGTCACAATAGGGATGAGAAGCTGCAGTCTCCACCAAGTGGTCCTTCTTCCATTTGTGGTGGGAGCCAGTCCAGCATTTCTGACTTCTGCATTTCTCCCTCATGTAAGGATGGCCTGTGGATGCTGTTCTTAATTGCTGACATCTTCCTAGAATTTGACAGATGTAGGGGGCCTGGATTGTGTGTTGTAGATTGGGGATTTTTTTTAGTGTAGTATGGAAATAGCCCTCTGTTTATAGATCCCAGGTCAGTCTGCAGGACCTTGGGGCACATGGCAGACTGCTCAAGCAGAATGAATTACATAGAAGGTAATGTGTGCTCAGCAGACTCCAGTGGTGTCACTTGCCTTGCTCCATCTTGCTTCCTGTGGAAGTGCTAAGGATCAAACCCAGGGCTTCTGATGTATGAAGGATGCTCTGCAATGTCCCCTGCCCAGGGAAGGAGCTGCAGCCAGACACAGTGCACTTCCCAACAGGCAAAGTCCCTGCTTGATCAAATATACCCTTGTTTGGATCTAAATGAATCACTGTCTGCTGGCACCTGCAGGCTCTGTTGGCTGTAGCTCAGTGTTAGAGCTGAAGGCAGCTGCAGTTATCTGCTGAGATTTGCAACTGCATTCAGACCATCCAGGGCTGTGGAGGATGGGCAGCCTGGTGCTGTGTGGCTGCATTGTGGGTGATGCTGCTAAAGATTCTGCCCTTGCAGCTTCAGCTGAAATGAATGCAAACTCAGCTGGGCCTGGGAGCTCAGAAACATGTGATGGAATTTAAAAGGTTATAGCCTTCTGAAATATACTTGATTGCTGAACTTCTGATATCCACGAGATCATGGAACTTTGGATGTAGGAGTTTGAACTGTCCTGCAGGGATTCATTAACATTTCCAATTATGGATCTAAGGCAAAATGTTCAGCAGTCGTAGATAAAGGATCTTGCAGCATATCCGGGACAGAATTATTAATAAGTTCAGGCAAAGTGTACCTTTTCTTTTCTGAAAAATATGCTTTGAAGCAGTAAAGGAATAGCATACTTTTTACTTTCTCTTCTATTTTTTTAAATTTCCTAACGGAAATGAAAAGGATTCTGAGAAAAGTAACCGAGGTCTTGCAGACAGGAATTCGCTTGTGTAATGCCTAGAGCTGATAAATGTAACATGCAGACAGAGAGAGGGATAGGAGCAGGAGAAGCTCCTGTCCAGGTTGGGCACTTGGGTTCTTGCTGTTGTGTAGTAATGAAAGCTGCTGTGCACAGTGACACCCTGAGTACAGCTCGGGGGGATTTGGCCAGCCAAGGGCAGCAACTCACACCAGCAAAGGTTGTTAACCAAGCAAAAACAGTTCTCCTGCAGAGAAGGAAAAAAAGAATGGATTTTTAAATACCTGTGCTTTGTAAAGGAAATTAAACCGTGTAGTTATCAAAGGTGTTCCTATTTGGTGTTTTAAAGTTATTGGACGTAATTCTTAAGGCATTATGCCACCATCCAGAGCCCAAGTGAAGCAGATTTTGATATCTTTCCAGTGAGATGCATGCACTCACCTCTGTCACTTTTGCTGTGCTGCTCATAGTTTGTTTTATAGAGATTTGTGAAGATGTTTAAACAGACAACCTGAGTCAGTCAGCAAAGTAAATGTTATTAATTTTGGATGGATATTGATTTAAAGCCGTCACGCTGAAGATATTTCGGCCAGCTTAAATGTTTCATTTTGTCAGAACTTTGCTTATAGCCTCTGTTTAAAACAGTGCTAGCTGCTTTCAGTCAAAATTACATGCAGGTGGCTACTAATAAGACTACTAGATTATGTTCTTTTCCTGTAGAAAAATCTTTAAAGTCAGAATATACAACATATTGCTACTGTATGTGCATTATACATGTAAAAAGACAAATAATTTTTGTGTGTGACTGAGGAAGTTCTTCCTAGCATTAATCTAGGCTATAAAATAACATTGAGCTACTTGAAAGATGGCCTGAGGTTTGTTCTGGGTTTTTGTGAGTAGCAGTGATCTATGTGCTTGTCTTTCTTGTCTTTTGCGATTTAGAAATGAGGGATTGTAAGAGAAGAGAAAAGAGACTGCACTGCTGGACCCCCAGTTGTTATGTCAGTGACAGGACTTGTATTCTGCAGGGTGATAATTGAGCTGGGTCTTTGAACATCTCAACTTTTCCAAAAGGCAGTGGGGATTGTAATATTTAAATTGAAAAGGCTTTAATTTAAGACAATGGAAAATAAGCCCTTTCTCTTCTGTTGCCTTCTAAGATACAGCAGGGAACAGAAATGTGTAAAAGTAATGGTACTGCTTCTAGAGGCTTTCATGATGCTCTGCCAAACGTCTCAGCAATAAATATGCTGTTTATTGACTTCTGATCTTGTTCTAATGGCCATTCTGTAGTACCAGGAACCTGCTTATTTCAGAATATTTGTTTCCCAGCATCACAAGAGTACCTTGGGACTCAGAGTTTCATGCAACCAAGTCACAAAATGAATAGTAAGAGACAAAAAGTAAAAAAAAAACAGGATAAAAACAATTAGCGTCATCAAGGGGCTGTCTCAAGGAGGCTAAGTTTAGCCTCAAGGAACCTTGATCCTCTTTTGTTTTCTAAAAATGAGCATAGTTCTTAATGTCCTCCTGGAAATATTTGGTTGTTCTTGAATTGGTCTGATTTTATCTGGGTCCATCCTTTCCCCCTTTATCCTTTGGTTAAGAATCAATAATTCTTGCACTTTCTTATTTTTTGTCTCCTGTGAGCAGAAAACTTGCGGACCAAAGATGAACCCTGGTCATCTTCCTATACTTATTATGCTGAATGCCAGACAGAACATGTGGTGGGCAGCAAAATGCCTGTCTGAGAGTGACCTGATCTGCATTCTTATCAGCATGAGAGAGCAAACCAGGACAGCAGCCTTTCCAGAGCATGGCAGGAGTAGAGCTAGGGATTTTCCCTAAGCTTTCATTGTACTTGCACACCTTGATAGCCTTGTGATTCTAAGCAATTTGAGTGTCTTTCACTTCAACATTAGTGTAAGGTAGAAGTTGAGTCTGACAGAAGTGTAAAACACCTTTTTGTCTGCAGTGATCCTGTTACTGTGGATATGTACAGACAACTGCAAGGGGTTGTGTTCCTGTGGCTTAAATGAGATATTGGACATAGCTGAGGTGTGTTAACTGGGGGCCTACATGCTCCTATCCCATTGCAAGTGCACAGCGTAGCCAGTTTTATTTTCCAACTGCAAAGGGCTTAAATTATCACACTTGCAGCTGTTTTGCTCAGGTGATGAGCCATAATACACATGAACTCAGTAACCTGCCAGAACCTCAAGGTTTCCTTCATACAGCAGGAACTGTGATTTGATTGTATTTCTAATAAAACTGTAAGGAGACAACTCCTCACTGAACTGTGTTTCTTTTTTAAACAGCAGTTGAAATGAAGTCATCTGAAGTATTTGCATCAGGCCATAGAATGGACCAACACATCCCAGCTGGTGATACCTTGTCTTCTCAACCTGCTGACTTCACTGAGGACAGAGCAAATGGTCAATCACACAGGTATGATCTATCCAGAGGATATCTAAAATTGTGAGAGGAGTCTGACAGGATTTACCAGCTTATTCCATGCTGCTGTAAAGACAATCTGTGAAGTCATTTGATGTATGATGTAGTCTGGCCTGAGACAGCTGTGGTGGTGCTTGCCAAACAAAATACCCTTTGCTGTGCCAGAGGCAGCTGTTCAATTTCTAAGCATCTGATTCAGAATGGGAGAAGTCTCAAGAAAGACATTATTAATGAACTTCACATGTATGCTCAACACAGCCTTCTCAAAATAAAACTTCCAGATTGCTTCCTTACATGATTCAACACTAGCTCATGAAAATAATTTATTAGTAAAGAAATAGGTAGGACTGTGGGAACAGGACAGGAATTATCATGCAGAAGGAAGAAAAATGAAGCATTTAAGTGGGTTAAGAGTGTTTAAATGCTGAATTGCTAGCACGGCTGACCAGAGTCCCTCATTTGTCCACTAGATGGGTATAGCAAAGGAGGCAAAGTTATGAGATCACCCAGCAATGGGTTTCAACTTTTCCTTGAAATTATTCCTATAAAATGAAAGGTCTTGCTCTCTTTATCCTGCTTATCCTGTTCACCTTCAGTGAAGCCTTTGTCATGTGTGCAACTGTGAAGTTATATCTTGGATGAGAACTAGGAATTAATTAGCAATTGGACCAAAGTCTACCAAAGTTTTCTGGGCCTGCATGTATCCTTCAGACATTAACAGCTTTTTCCTATAGCTAATTAGATTGGGCAAAGTTATAAAAAGTGTAGACAAATTTTAAAAGAAAATATGTTCCAGAACTAAAACACATGGGTGGAGATGTGTTAAAGGAAAGGTTTTACCAGCTCTTTATGCACCCAATTATTCAGAAGTGCTTGGTTATTTGTGTTAATTACAGCTCCAGCACTTCTAAAAGATTCTGTGTCTAGAACTTTGTTTCCTTCAGGCCTACAGATGCCAGTGTGTGGTTTTGGGTTTTTGGGGGAGTTGGTGTGGCTTTGGTTGTTTGGTTGGGTTTTTTCCCCAGTTGTGCTGTTTCTATGGTGAGATCTGAGAAATTATACATTGTCAACAAATTATCACTGGTTTCAGCTGAACTGCTTAGTAGTCATACTTCTGGCCCAACATTACTGGCTTTATTTCTGTTGTCTGTTGTAACAGTAGCTAAGCACATAATGGAAGTGCAAATAGACCATTAAAATTTATGGCCAAATTGTTTGCTTTGTGGTATGGAGAGGGATATTATTTTCAGGCTTTGCTTCCAGGAAGCAAGCCAAATTAGTAGCATCTTGTCCCCCACCTTAGTGAGATGCTTTGCTTCTCTACAAAACCTATTAAGAAGGTATATTCCCAGTAATTTTTAATATTTGTTCACAAACGGATGGATGTTATAGCAGTGAAGGCACAGGTGCAGTATCCTGCAGAGGAAGATATCTTTTCATCCTGTGTTTCCTCAGCATGCATGCAGTAATTTGGATTTCCAAATGCAGCCTCGAGTTGCAGATACAGGAATGCAGCCATTCACAGTCAAAGAGAGCACAGGGTTTCTGTGTCAAGGGTCTTTTGTTAATATGTTGGTGTTGCAATAGCTAGACCTGCCTTTGCATTCTTTCACTCCTGGATGCAAACTATAATTTGTTTGCAAAACAAACAGCACTAATAAATCACTGCTTTGCTCATAGTTTTGGCCACTGTAAGAAATGTCTTCTTCTTGGAGGCAAATACCTATTAGGCAAAAACCAAGACCTTTCTAGAAGAGGTATGTATGAGAAAAGGAGGGCTGAGCTGGGCTGTGGAAGTGGTCACTTCTCTTTCCCCTCTTCCTTAGCAGTATAAATTGGGAACTTAACTGCACAGAGATGAGTGAAATGAAGCAAAATCAATTGGAGAGAAGAATGAGATCTTAGTAGTGAAATTTCTGCTGCAGTTGTTCTATTTCCACAGGAACAAATGATTGTTCCAGCTGATGTAGGTCAGACTGGCAGCTGGTCTTTCATTGATAGTCCCTGTTGCATTTTGATCATGTGAGAATCAAGCTCTTCTGTGCTTTTTAGCCAGTCAAGGATGAATTTGTAACAGACTTCAGTCTACAATTGTGACTGACTGAAAAAGCAGGGTTTTTTTGTATTGTGACTATGTCCAGTATGATCATGATAAAAAAGAGCTTAAACTCTGCAGGACATTCTTATGTCCCTATTAGCCTTGCTTTTGTGATAATCTGGTAAAAATGGCCAAAAGTCCCGGTGTATTCTTGGAGAAAATTGTTTAAAAACTTGAACAGTTATATATTCAAGTCGTGTTTTATTTCCTGGATGATTATTCGAATCCTAGTGTCAGTCTGTATACTTTTTTATAGACAATTATTTCAGTTCTTCCAAGTAAAGAGTTTTCTTTCTTCTCAGTGCAATGTACTGGGTTTTGTTGTGAGATTTTGTTGTGGGTTTGGGTATTTTTGACCAGTTGTTTTTTGTTTTGTTTTGTTTTTTCTTTGAGCATACCTTGTCATCAGTGACTCCTTTGACAAATGCTGAAAAACGTTTCCCACACTAGATTTTGCTGCTTTTCTTCAACTCATCAACTTTTAAAGGATAACAAATTGGAGTTTTAGGTGTTACCCTAGGGATTAGTTATTTTCTGTTGATCTTAACCTATTTATTGATGCAGTAAAAGATTAAGTGGTTCTGCAGTGCTTGAACACATGGAGAGCCAGATCTGCTCTGCATCCTCTCAGAAAAACAACAGAATTTTTTCAACTTTACAGTTTTTGCTACCAGCCTATTTAATATAATCCTTTCCTGAAGAGTTTGCACAGATGTGAACCATTTTGTGTGAGAACTGTGTATCTCTTTCCGTGGTAAAGTGATGTGATTCTGGTTGTATTGCTTTGCTCTGTCAGTAGTCTGGCTGCCCGGGTTACTGCCCTGAAACTGTGGAGATAGTTGAATGGCTAGAAAAGCACTCTTTTTTAGTGTATGGGAATACAGATCCAAAGTTTTGTTATCTGTTGTTGAATAAGGAAGAAAAAAACCCCTAATTTGTGGCTCAAAAACTGCCTTGAAGCTGGTGAATCTTTCTTTTTAATCCACCTAAGAACATCACAGTACACATAAGATTATGAAGAGCACGAGTGAATTGAAAACCCAATTCACTTGAACTAACTCACTTTACCAAAACGAGCTACGTGACAAAAAAAGCAATAACAATGACACTACTATATGGAGATAAAGATGTTTAAATATCTCTGTGATCCACGCCTTGAGGTTTTATCTGGCCAGTCTTATTTTTGGTGTTGTTTTACCAGTCTGTTTCTGCTGCCATCTGCCACCTCCTCCTTTGAAGCTGAGGCAAGTGTTAACAGCTACTCCTAGGTAGAGGGCTGCAGAGATGGTTCTTAGAAAAGCAGTTAGCACGTCTCTGCCCTTAATAGTTAGCATATACATATGCAAAATACAGACAATAATGCTATTTAAAATACAAAAGGAACACTTGCTCAAATCTCCCTGCAAGGTGAAGCAGGGCTATGGAAGGGCTAATCAGCACTGACTCAGCAGCATTCCCAGGGGAGGAGGGGAGATTAAATATCTTGAAAATCCTCCCCTTCTGATGGTCACAAAGGGTTCTTTTGATGGAGCTAATAACACGGGAACTTTCTATTTTAATCGCCAATTTTTAGGCAGCACCTATTTTGTCGATATCCTGCCTTTGGCTCTTTTATTTTACTTTTTAAATATGATGAAGTTTTCATGTAGCTGTTACTGTAGCTTAACCTTTTCACCTTTTAAGATAAAATCGACTCACTAGTGCAAACATTAATTCAGATTCAGAATTATTTTAGAGACTTGCTATTTCCTGGTAGCCTCCATTTTTGTAAGTGGGAAAAATGCTGAGGGCAAGGAAGGACAGTGTATCTTCTCACAGTTATTGACTACATGTTAAAGAATGGTATTTTTGCAGCGCGTGCAGACTGTGAAATAGCAGCACTTGGTTTATGTTCTCAGTGTTAACAAGGAACCTGTGTGTTTAGGAAATTTATTTTATAGATGCCATCACAGCTTTTTGCTCTTTTGGCAAAGCCTCCAGGGAGTTCTACAAATCTTATCTCAGATAGGAGCCAGGGAGGCTAGGCTGCATGTATCTGCCAGGATTGACCTATACCTGGGAGAAATTGTGGTGTCTGTGCCCCAAGAGGATGTGTTCCTGAGCTGTAGCATATCTCTGCATTTTTTGCACCCCAGAATGAGTCACTGGATGTGATAAACACCAGAAAGCAATCTAAAGATCAGTTACTGGTTTGCAGGGAATTTACCTGAACCTGTTCACTCCTGTTGTGTGAAGGGTGAGGTTTCAGTAGGATGGACAGGTCAATAGAGGGAGGTTAGAGGCTGTGCAGTGAGCACACGTCCCAGGCAGTACCTGTGGTGGCATGTTCCTTTCATTTGCAGTCTTCCTGAGGTCTGAGCACCTGCTGGGCTGTCACAGCACGTACTGCAGGTTTCACTTGGTTGCAGACTTACTATGCATACATATTCCTCCATGCATTTCTAACCCTTTCCCTCTCTTCCTCCAGCGACTTTGCCTTAGCCTTCACCAGCAAACCTAAGATCCCTCGCACTCCTGACGGGCAGAGCCCCAGCCCTAGAAAGGGAAAGGTCCCAGCCATTGCCCCCCAGTTCTCTCAGTCTGAACAAACAAGCCATCCAAGCTCCTCAGGATCATCCACAAGGAGCAGACAGAGTAAGTGGAAAATGTCATCGTTCTGTTTGTCATTCCTTGGGCTGGGAAAGGAGGGAGCATTGTAGAAACTTCAGGAATGACATCGTAGGCTACGAATGTGCCAGGAGTCTATGACATTGTACTTGTCATCTGCAGGATGTACAACCATGTAATTATATCCTGCTGAACACTGCTCCTATTTCCAGGCTGTCATGTGAGCAGTTAAGAGACATGCTTTTTCCTGTCTCTGGGTGGAGAAAAGTGGCCCAAATTCTCAGAAGGTTTTGGGGAAGCTTATGAGTCTCAGATTAGACATTCTCTAGATGTCATCAGAGTTTTTCCTTTTCTTTAGACATTTGTTCATCCCACTGTGTAACTTGAAGTCGGATCCCTGGGTGTCTACAGTGCAGCTGAATGTAAAGCAGATGTCAGGCAGCTCAGGAGATGGCTCAGGGCAGCTTGGTAAGCAGAGAGCCAAGCACAGCGTGCTGCTTATGGCAGTCTCCTTTCTGCTGGAGACTGGGACTCAAGAACCATGTGGCCATGCTGTGGCCTGCAAAAGTTTATAAAAAGTACTTCATCTTTGTGGGGGGAGTCAGAAGAGAGGGTGGCTTTGACTTGAGAATAGAGGAAAATGATGGACACCTGCTTTGAGCCAGGCAACACAAGCTCAATAAAAAATTGATCTTGGATGCTCACACATCAGTAAACACATGCAGTGTGTCAGCTGTGGAGTTTTTTGGGGAGGAGGGGGAAGAAAGGTCCATTCTTCAGCAATGAACAAACTTTTTCCCAGGCATGTAGATAGGAAAAGCTGGATTCAAATACAACTCTGTGTCTATCAACAGTTAAAATGGCAGGAGCAAATGCATCATAACAAGTTTGCTGATGATTATTTGATCACAATATAACATCAGCTCTATTCTTTAGCTGTAACTGTTACCTTGAAACATTTGACAAAAACACAGTAAGTCAGTACCTTCCTGAAAAGCTTGAAATGTGTGTATATCATTAGCTACTTACTACTGATACGGAAAATGAAACGAAGAGAATTTAAATAACCCAGTAAATCAGTAACAGAGCTGGAAAGAGCATCCTGAGCCTTCTGTTGCTCATTCATTGTTCCACACAGTTGCATGTGCAGAGAAGTGGTGCGGTTTCATTCAGGGAGTACAGGTGAGGCATTGGAAGGGAATGTTCTTGGTGGCAAAATGAGGTTTTGACCTGGAGGCTCCTTGCTTCATCATTCCTATGCTGAGGTAATGCAGTTCTTTCAGCTTTACCTTTGCTGCATGTGCCCTGAGTTTTACCTCTGACATCGGTGCTCTCTGTTTCCTGTGAGAGCAGCACTGTTCTGCCCTGACTGGATGTGGTGTTAACACCCAGGAGTCGTCCCTGGTTCCTGTTTCAGTTCATTTCCAAAAGCATTGCCCATTGAAGAGAAGCCCTAGAGAAGAAAGGAAAAGCACTGTGTGTGTGTGTATGTGTACACAAAAAATCTTCTGCATGTTCTGGTTTCTCCAGGGCAGCTTACACTCCTGGGGAGAGTGTCCTAGGAAAGATGTGACACACCAGTGTTGCTTTCAGGACGCTCTGGAGCAAGATCCTTTTCCAGTGGTAGAAGTTAAATGTATTTTATTTTTAAATTGCTTTAAAGTAATCACTTGGGGTTTTCTGTGGATTCAGTATATGTGATCTGTTAGTCCAGATACTTGAGCTCTTCTAACTTTTATTGTTTTACATTATACCTTTTCTCTTTCCTGGGAATGTATGCTGAATGTATAACAGGCATCCCAACTTGCTCTGTGTCCATTTACCATTTCTCCCAGTTTTTCACTTGGGATTCCAGGTTATAATTTTCTATCTGTCCACATAGACAGTGTCAGCAATTGAATGTTAAACTGTTCTTGCTAAAAATAGCAAATAAATTATTTTGCAAACAGCTAATCTTCCACTCACTCTGTGTATATGTATCCAGTCTTGTTGTCTGCTGTCACAGAGCACCTGATAATTAGTTCTTGTCCATCCTGCAGGGGCTTTAACACAGGTGTTTATAGGTGGGAAGAGTTGCATGATGGTTGTAAGGACCAGATTTTTAAAGGACTAAAAAGGGTTTTAAGCACCTATGCTGAAACTTGAGGTTCTTGAAGGTAATTCTCAGCTGTTACTTAAAGATGCAGGGAAGGGGTCTGAAGCAAGTGAGCCCGTAATATTTGCCTAGTAAAACTCTGTGCTGACTGCTCCTTTAATTTCCTAGCTGACTCATCTGTAGGTCAAAAATGGTATCAGATGCACAGATACCAGCAATCAGTAGATTGCAGCAGTTGCTACCTCCCATTTGCCTGCTGCATAGGTATGTAGGATTTTACTTATCGAGAGACTGTGTTGCAGTGCAAGACTAATTTGTGGGTTTCTTGGTATTTCTGGAGAAATGAAAGTTTTTATAGCTGATGGACATGATGAGAAAAAGATGATTTCTGATTTTACTTCATGCATTCACTTATTTTGGAGGCACATTTTTAGCTTGATTTTAGTATTTATTACAGGTGTATTTTCTGGAAACAAGTTGATTTTATGTAAACCTACCTGAACTAGCTGGACCACTCCTCTTGGAGCACTGGAGTGTGTGGAATGCCTGAGGAATGCAGAGGAAGCCCAGGTACTTAGTACAGCTACAGGCCTGGGGCCAGATTCCTGCCCGAGATGCAGCCTCTGCTGTTAGCTGAATTCTAGAGCAAAAGCAAGCTCCTCCAAATAAAACCAGCCATGCTGGGATCCTCTCCCACTTGGATTCTCACTTCCAAGCTGCCACAGGGATGGCAGTGGCAGCATGGCAGTAGCATAAGCACCTCTAAATTTAGACCTTTTCAACTGTGTTCCATGTGGACATGGTTGTGTGGTTTAATCCCCTCTGATCCTATTCTCTCTCTGTTCCAGGCAACTCTGCACGGGTGTGCTGAAGCTGTTTGCAGTACACCAAGTTCTGTCTAAGGCGCTTTGGAGCTAGGGCAGTAAAAATCAAAAATCTCTACCAGGAGAATGGGGAATGTTTTTTGTCAGGAGTGCAACCGGGCCCTGCTGATGCCCTTTCAGTTCTTTCAATATCTTCTGAAAAGGGGTTGCCATAAATACATTCTGCAGTTTTAAGTTGCAGCATCACAAGTTAAAGTGCCTTTCTGCATGTTTTTTGCAATGTTTGTGTCCCTGTACAAGTTGAAGAAGCGTTGCCCTCAGGCAGTTGCTGTCTTGTAATAAATCCTGCTTTCAGCTGACAGACCCTTTCTCGATGTTTTTCTGCAGGCAGCCAGTCCTACAGGAAGTGAGAACAGTTCCTTTCCTCGAGAATCACCTCTCACATTGTTGAAGGACAGAGCCAGCTTCCTGTAATGAGCTGTACAGGTGACCTACAGAGGAGAGTGAGGTTGTTGATACTGCAGCCCTTGCACAGGGATTCAGGATTATCTGATGGGATGCATCTGTGGTCTCTAAGGCTGGCTAAGACAAGGGCCTTGTTATTAGAATTCGAGGTCTCAGCAGCAGCCCAGGACTGACATGGGAGATGGATATTCTCTGATAGTTTACAGTGACATTGCCACCTTGAGAAGAAACTCTTGCTCTCTGCCTTCCGTGTCAGAGTAAATGGCCTTTGGAAACAGAATGTAGGCTCAGCCCAGGAGTCTTATCAAGCAGCTGTATTTTTTACTTATTGTTTGCTGAAGCAGCCTGCCAATTGCTTTTTTAAAAATTTTGCCTGTATGACCGGGTTGGGAAGTATCTGTGTTCAAAGACAGTGTCTGCCACATGTGCAGAGCCTTCCTGCCTGGAGCAGATCTGTATGGCCTCCAGACCCTGAAGAGGAGGTATTTTATCAACTTCTGGTTGACCTGTAGCAGATGAAAAACACTGTTACAGTGCCCAAGGCAGCATCCATGCTCACCTCTGAGGTCCTTATCTGCAGCAATTACTCCTATTCCTTCTTTCTGCATTTTTTTCTTAATTGTACTGTTTAACATTTGTGGAATGAAAAATCTCCTTTTTTTCCCCTGGAATGAAGGAAGAGCTTTGCTTCTTCATTCATAGAAGAAACCATGAGAATGTGAACAGATCAATAGCAACTTTCTCTTTACATGTAACTGTGCTCCATCTTCTTTGGTCTTTGTTGCTTTTTTTATGTTCTTCACTTCAGAGCAATGAGTGTTTATGTCTTTATGGAATTTGTGTTGCTCTTTGGTACATATGAAGTGTTGGCTAGGTAAGAGAGATCAGGAATCCTTCCACTAAATAAAAATCAACAGTTAGTTCTGCCAGTGAATTACAAAGCTAGTGCTGTTTGTTGTTCTTTTTCTCAACAGTACCAGTGACCAGGAAACACTAAAAAATCTTCACTGGGGGTTGGCTTTTCAGTAACACCCCCTCATATCACAGCTGTTAGGACACATAAATGCAGTTTACACTGGAACTTGGCTGCTGCTGAAGCAGAGATGTACAAAAAGCAGACAGTGTATTTGCCATAGTCAGACTTCAGAAACTAATGTTTTAATGAGTATGAAAATGGGGAGGATAAGCCTTTGGTTTGGGAGTTTCATCTTGAGAAACAAACAAGTGGAACACAACCTGAAAGGTAAAGCAACTATGATAGTGACACTGCCTTCCCCTAAAGTAAAGAGTTGTAAGGCCATTTCCATAGAGCCAGAAGAAAGCTTTGTGCTTCTGATAAGACTTTGAATTGGGCCTCTTGCTCTGTGGTGGCAACCAAAGAGCCAAGGCCACTGATGTCATTGCCTCAGACCCACTCAGATCAGTGATGCTGTGTCAAATGTTTGCAGATAGGGCTCCCATACACAAGTTCAGGAAACTCCCAGGATAGACTTTAAATTGGAATGGGGGCGTTTTGTAGGAGAAGACCTCCTGAAGCTTAAAATCCAGTCAGTTCCATTTTTCTGCTCAGTAACACCAACCTAACACCAAGCAGGCAGAGTAGGGGTGTTGCTTTAGCTCCCAGACTGCACCAGACATGAAGTGACTACAGACACTTGATAGCCTCTGTCACACAGCTCCCCATGCCAGACAAAGAAGTCACAGAAAATCTCTGACTTGTGCTGAGATTCATCTGCCTCCTCTCAGAGCTGATAAACACATCTAATGGGAAACTGTTCACTGGTTCACAAAAAGGCAGTAATGGAAAACAGCCATAAAAGTTCACCTCGTGGCTTTCCAGGGTGGGCAGAATTTCCTCTGAAATTCTGTTTTTTTTCCAGCAGGTAACAACAGCCAAGTTGTTAACACTGAAGTGCTAAGCAGTTCATTTGCATACATGAATAACACAGAATACTCTAGTAGCTGAGTTTTATTTATCTTACAGCAGTGCTGAGTTTCATGTTGGATCTGTGCTATGTTCATGCTAGATCTGATTCTGTAAGATGGAGAGCAGCTTTTGAAAAGTGTTAAGAGCAGACTAATTTTTTTAGGGGGTGGAGAGGAAACAACAACCCCAAAACCTCACTGATTTTATGAGTTGAGGTAAAAACTTCACCACCCTTTGCCAGACACCCAAAGGTGGTTGGTAGGTGTGGCAGCTGCTCCAGAAGATGAAGATTCATGAAAACTAAAATGCATCTTGCTGAGTTG